GCTGATGCTATAGCACTCTAGCCCAGGCAACAGAGTGAGACTCTATCTCAAAAAAAAAAAAAAAGAAAAGAAAAAAAATTTTCTTTTTTAGAGATGGGGTCTCGCTACGTTGCTCAGGCTGGTCTTGAACTCCTGGCCTCAAATGATCCTCCCACCTCGGCCTCCCAAAGTGCTGGGATTGTAGGCATGAGCAACCACACCTGGCAGGACACTCTTGAGATGAATAGTTGGCAACCTCTGGCTTAAACCCATTCTTTTTTTTTTTTTTTTTTTGAGACAGAGTCTCACTTTGTTGCCTAGGCTAGAGTGAGTGCCGTGGCGTCAGCCTAGCTCACAGCAACCTCAATCTCCTGGGCTCAAGCGATCCTCCTGCCTCAGCCTCCTGAGTAGCTGGGACTACAGGCACGCGCCACCATGCCCAGCTAATTTTTTCTATATATATTAGTTGGCCAATTAATTTCTATTTATAGTAGAGACGGGGTCTCACTCTTGCTCAGGCTGGTTTCGAACTCCTGACCTCAGGCAATCCGCCCGCCTCGGCCTCCCAGAGAGCTAGGATTACAGGCGTGAGCCACCGCGCCCGGCCTAAACCCATTCTTTCTGTAGGTGAATCCTAACTAGTAGGACTATGTAATCTATCATCTAAGCCAGGTCACTGGAGAGAGAGTGAAAGGAGGCTGTGTTGCTTATTATGCTGAGACAACAGGTGAACATTAGACTCTCACAGGCAAACTGGTCTTCCTGGTCCTACATGCCATCTTTGTATCGGAAAAAACCAACAAGCAGCTTATATCTATGCAGTGCCAAGTGCCAGGTCATACACATGTGCTTTGTATGGGGCATCTCGTGTAATCATCACAGCACTGTAAGACGTGGATGCTGTCATTGCTCTTTTTTTTTTTTTTTTTCTGGCGGTACACAGAGGCACAGAGGGGTGAAGGAATTTATCTGAAGCCACACCGTGGTGGAGTTAGTCAGGTTCCAGAGCCTCAGCTCTTACCTGTACCATTCTCTCCCATGGGTGCAAGGCAGTGGGAAGAATGCTGAACCTCCTTTTCAGAGGGATTGTTGAGACCCAGGACTACTTGGGGAGCACAGAGAGCACCCATTGCTCCTGCCACCGTGAGGCTGATGTTTCACAGCGTCACTGCATGTTACAAGGAGCTGTGGGCGTGGGAGCTAAATACCAGATTGGCGCCAAGTGCATTTCATCGGGTTGCTGCAGCCAGCTCTTATGTGCTACCTAAACCTGACACCTCCTTGGCTGGCCTGTCAGCCCAGATCCACACACTAAAAGGACAGCTGAGGACACGATCTGAGAGGGGGAACAGGACCCAAATAAAGGGTGGCTCACCCATAGCGCCAGCTTTTCAGAGCTCCAGATGTGGCCCTTTAAGCAAGTGTGAAGGAGAAAGATCTCCCCTCATGAAAATGTTGATGCTGGGCCTAAAAGAAGCGTTTGAAAAATGACATTTCAGCATAAGACACTCCTGAGAGTACTCCAGGAGCAATAGAAAGATTCATTTTCATAAAAACAAAGGGAAACATAATGTTAAAAATACTCTTTTCAAACAAGGATAGCAGGCTGGGCGTGGTGGCTCACGCCTGTAATCCTAGCACTCTGGGAGGCTGAGGCAGGCGGATCGTTTCAGCTCAGGAGTTCAAGACCAGCCTGAGCAAGAGTGAGACCTCTGTCTCTACTAAAAATAGAAAGAAATTAATTGGACAACTAAAAATATACAGAAAAAATTAGCTGGGCATGGTGGCGCATGCCTGTAGCCTCAGCTACTCAGGAGGCTGAGGCAGGAGGATTGCTTGAGCCCAGGAGTTTGAGGTTGCTGTGAGCCAGGCTGACACCAACGGCACTCACTCTAGCCAGGGCAACAAGAGTGAGACTCTGTCTCAAAAAAAAAAAAAAAAAAAAAAGACAAGGACAGCAGAATGTTGGTAATTGTTGGAGCACAGTAACAGATACGTGGATGGTCATGGTACTTTTCTCTTCTTAAAAAGTTCAAGATGTTCGAAGTGTTTTCAACATTCCGAAACTAGTTTTAGAGAAATAAAGAGTACTCTAACATAAAAGTGAATAGGAAGTGCTTTGAGTGTGCAGTGTCCTTGCCGAGCAGGTGGAAGAGTCCAGCAATGGAGAGTCCAGCAATGAGGCCACCTGGCAGTGACAGAGACCCCAGCTCTGAAGGGGGCCTTGCCTTTCCATCCACCTCGGTGGTAGCATGGCTTAAAGGGTTGGCTCATAACATCCCCAGGAGAAATGCTTGCTGTGTCGTCAATACAAAATGATTTCAGTGACCACTGTCATTGACCACTCTTGACCCAAAAGGAAGTACCCATCTGGGAGTTAAGACTCAAATTTTGTCTTCACTCTACCTTGGTCTCCATCTGCAAAGCAGCAAGACAAGTTTTTCCATCAGTCGAAGTTAGAGAATACTAGACGATTGTTGCCGATTCAAATGAAATATGAATTATCACTTCGTGTGAAAATCCTATGCCTTCTTCTGGGCTACAGCCGTTACATCTAAATGGTCCAACTGAAGGTCAATCTAGGAAACTTGTGAGAGTCCAAGGCCTTCCTACCTTCCCATTCCACATTTCACTTTATTCTTTTTTTTTTTTTTTTTTTGAGACGTAGTCTTACTCCATTGCCTGGGTAGAGTGCAGTGGTGTCATCATAGCTCACTGCAACCTCAAACTCCTGGGCTGAATCAATCCTCCTGGCTCAGCCTCCAGAGTAGCTGAGACTACAGGTGCATGCCACCATGCCCAGCTAATATTTCTATTGTTTGTAGAGACAGGGTCTAACTCTTGCTGAGGCTGGTCTCAAACTCTGGAGCTCAAGCAATCCTCCCACTTCAGCCTCCCAGAGTGCTAGGATTAGAGGCATGAGCTACGGCAACTGGCCCTCATTTTATTCTTGAAAAACAAAACGTTCCCAATCACTACATTAGTTAGACTGTTTCTGTGTGGCTAGCTTAAGCAAATAGGGAATTTATTAGATCCTGGAGCAGCTCACAGGACTGAAGGAACTGTGCAGCAACCATGACTTGGTGACGTTTGTGTACCTTCTCCAGCCTCTGATTTCTTGATTTCAGATTCTAGATTCTCAGGGAGAGAGAACCTGGTTGGTCCACTCAGGTGTGGTATTGAAGGGGAAGGATTATGTAGGACTAACCTGGTCACTAGGGGCCACCACTGCGTATCAACCCCCACCCCAAATAGAATCCTCTTGCTCTGGGCAGCCAGCCCTATAGCCATAATATTGATTTATGCTGTGCTGTTATCTGCCCCGTAGCTGCTTAGCAACTGTTTGAAGGTCAAGGAACTCCTCTAGGACAGGCACGAGGACTGTTTGATTTAGGACAGTGTGTCTGACTGTAATTGATACTTGAGTCTGACCAGAACCAATCTACCACTTAGCTCAGTCAAGAGGTTCAGTCATGTTATTAAACCAAGGAGAGGAAGGAAAGAGGAAGGGTCCCTGGCCTCAGCACAAACACCTGTCAAAGGGGGTCCTATCCATTGGGAGCCTCAGGGGCATTTTTGTCCCATGGGTCTTAAATCTTGAGTTTTACTTGGGATTTTCAGTTGAGCATAACCCCAACTCTCTGCCAAAGGAAATGTATCCAGGAAGCATCTGTGTCTCTCCAATCCCAGAAAGGAATGGATGAGGAAGCCCATCCTAAGAAAAGGGGTTCCCCAGGTTCTTAGACATGAGCTGCTGCCCATGTAGCTTTCCTTTCACTGTCCAGCACTGGGATGTGGGCCCCTTCTCTTCCACCCTTTAAACAAGGAAAGCAGAATTTCAGCTGGGAAGGAGAGAGATTGGGGAAGAGAGAAGGAATTGCTCAGTTCACTGGAAACATCAAGCCAGGGTCCAGGCCAAGGGGAGAAGGTTGAGTGGCCAGAGAGAAAAGGCCAAATCGTCAGAGGTGAGGTTGGGCCAGAGCTTGGAAAGTGAGGGGGCACTGGGCCTGTCCCGCCTCGAGGAGGACAAGGCTGGGGCACGATGCTTCTGGTATATGTTTACTGCACACGTGTTGCTCTGGGGCAAGGCAGGCTGAGGAAAGAAGCAGCTGGCTCCAGCTAGGCTGTGGCATATGGCGTTTGACATGAGAATCAGGATTTGCTCTGCTCCTGCAGCGCCTCTGTGCGAGGGTGTGCAGCGTGGGCAGTGCACGGGTGGGAGCCGACTTCGGCCTACGCTCCACCTACTCTTGAAGAGATGCTGTGCGGGCTGTGGGCTCATGAGTGGCTCCTTTGGCTTCAGCTTGGACCTGGTCCCTGGAGGTGCAGGAGCACCGGTCCCCTTGCCTGGGCTGCTTGGTGGAAGATTCTAGAACTACCAAGCTCCTCAGTCTGGAGTGATGCCTCTATTGGCAGCAGGATAGAATTTTAAAAAAATGTATCTTGAGCCTCTCTTTCTCTTTGTAGTCCTTTAAGGTTAAAGAAATTAAGTAAGAGGACACCCATGAATGTCTTTTCAGGCAGGAGTGTCCTCAACAGCGGGTGAGGAAGTATTTGTTTCCAGCCAGTGAGATACTCAGGGTGGGGAGGAACATTCTCGACCAATGACACGAGGTGGGCCTGCATGCGACAGCAGAATGGCCCTGCCTGTGGCCCAGTGCTGAGAGGATGGGGCCTTGGGGAGGGGAGACTGAAAGCAGGGTTGGGTGGAAACACTCGTGAAGAATGACCGTGGTGCTGCTGCCCTCCGTGGACACCCTACGCCAGGGCGAAAGAGCCAGGCCCTCACTCCCTCAGCAGAGAGGAGAGCAGCCACTCGCTCTTCACAGGCCCCGTAAACTCAGGGTCAGGGAGCTGAGAGTTGCCATGAAAATCTTTACCCCGACACCCTTGAGCTACTTGAGATGGGCAGTTGAAGCCTGGCCTGTGTACAGTGTGCACAATTGGCTCAAGTGGCCTTGAAGCCATGTTCATAGTAGGGACATGGCACTTACAGCTCCTCTTCCTCTCTGGCCAAGCAGATGCAGGATCTGGAGCAGAGGCTGCTGGAGGCCGAGCAGAGAGCAGAGAACGCCGAGACCCAGGTAACAGGGGCAGAGGGTTGGAGGGAGTATGCTGAGGAAATGACATCGGGCTTTGCTGGCTCTTCCGGGGACACATGTGAATGAAGGAGTCTTTGAAAGTAAGGGTCAGTGCAGTGAGTGGGCGTGTTAGTGCAAATAAGCTAGGCTATCCACGGAAACACATAGAGTCTGAAATCTCAGTGGTTTATCACGTTGAGTTCTCACTCATGGTGCCTGTCCCCTGAGGGTGAGCAGCAGTTCTAGTTCAGCAGCCTTTCAGGGGTCCAGGCTAAGGGAGCCTCCCCTATCTGGAACCCACAGTATTGGTTGCTACTCAGGGAAAGAGAGCTAGATGCTTGTGCACCAGCTTTTAAATACTTCCACCCAGAGATGATGTGCCATTCATACCCGGAGCCCATAGATTGGATCAATTATGTAGCCCCGTCTAACTATAAGAGGGTTGGGAGACAGGGAAGCACGTGGAAATCCAGCCAGCGGTGCATAGCTCTGCTGCAGGGGGGCCAGCTCTCCTAGGCCATTTGTCCTGCCCAACTCCTCCCTACTGGGGCCCCCAGAGGTAGATTGCTCAAGACCTAGCTGGCTTTTCAGAGTAACCAAAATGAGCTTCTTCCTTGTCAGCTCCTCTTTTTTTCCCAGATAAGGGCTTTATCAACGGTCATTCAATTAATTGGCCCAGACTGCCCTGGGTAAGGGCTCTGCCTGGGAGTCATAGGCTGGGGCTTCGGGAGACATCCCATCCCACATTATTGACCATGGCACACACCACATGGGTGGTGTGAGGTCTAAGAGATCATTGGTACTTTTCAGGTGGGTGTCATGGAAGAGAAGGTAAGACTGTCCAGTCTGCAGAGCATGGACTCAGCAGGCAGCCTGCATCGGAAATACCAAGTGCTGCTGAAAGCTGTGCAGGGCAAGAATGAGCTCATCAGCCAGCTGGAGGCCCAGCTGGAGGAGCAGGTAAAGGCTAACGCACACCTGAGCACCTCCCCCTCTAACACCTGCACTGCTGGGCCCCCAGCTTCTCGCATTCCCTCATGAGCCTGTTCTTTTATGTGGAGATGTAATTATAGGAAGGTCGGTTGCTCTCACCTCTGTCCATCAGAAGCCAGGCAGAGGGTATGGTAGGTAAAGGACCTTAGAGGCAGAACACCCTGGCTGTGAATCCCACCTCTAGCACCTGCTGCTTCTGACTGTGGGCAAAATGCTTAAGTCGCTGATTCGCATTTTACACATTTATAAAAGAAGAGTTACAATACCTCATAGGTAAATAAAAAAAAAAAAAAAAAAGATTACAACTGTATTAACTCCCCTAAAAAAAAATACCTCATAGGGCTGTGGGGAGAATTAACTTAGGTGCCCTGTGTACGGTGTCAGACACAGATTGGTGCTTGGTAAGGAGAGCTTTTCCTTCTCCATCCTGGCCTTTCGTGCCCTGCCAACACGTGGTACGTGATACTTGGCTGTAACATGACCAAAGACACACAGAGCTGGACGGTCAGCCTTGGTCAACTGGTGGCCAAAGTTTCTCAATGAACTTGAAGAGGCAGAGACCAAAGTTGCTGCCACCGCTAACAATCGGGGCCTCCCCTCCTGAGCATGTGGGAGCCCAGGAGAGGCCACTGCCCAACATCTCAGCAATAGTTAGCACCACTGCTCCAGAGAGGACTTCTGGAGCATCCCCTGGCCTGCTCCTCCCCTTCACAATCTCATTAACTCCATCCTGATTCTGCCCCTTCCAATTCTGTCCCTTCCCTCTGCTGTTGGCCTTGCCTACCCAGCTTTTCCCTGGTGCCGAAGCTCCATCATTTCCAGCTAAAGACCCCACGGTGCAGTCATATGACTTAATTTCCTGCATGTATCTTCTCCTTGAAGGTTCCAACTGATCCTGGGAGTACCTTCCAACCATCATGGGCAAATTTGTAGTCATTCGTCAGCATTCACTGAACATTCCCTTAGTGGATGTATGGCCCTTGTATGCCTCGGGGCACCTTGTGTTCCTGAAAAGTCATGGGAAAGTTTTGACATATGGACTCTGCAATCAATTTTTCCATTGAGATTTAGAGATACCTTATTTTTTCTTTTGAGTGGTTCAGTTAGAAGAGGCAGCATCCTGGGTATTGGTGGGCAAAATGACTCCCCCTTAAACTCCTTAGTTCAGAAAAAAATCATTTTATAATTATAATCAATAGGTCAAGATCATAATAGAAAGAATGCCATTCCATCAGCCAAGAGATCTGGTTTTAGTCGCAGCTGGGCCATGAACTGACAGAGGCAAGTCACTTCTCCCTTCTGGGCCTCAGTTTCCACAGCTGTACAAAGATGATATCCAGCTAGGTCAGAGGTCAGATGACTTTTACCGTAAGGCCAGATAGCAAACATTTCAGGCTTTATGGGCCACATGGTTTCTGTCTAACCGCTCAACTCTGCTGTTGTAGCTTGGAAGCAGCCATAGGTAACATCTAAATGAATGGGCATGGCTGTATTACAGTGCAACTTAATTCACAAAATAAAGTTTTGTGGGAGTGGCAGCAGGTAGGTGGGGGGCTGGATTTGGCCTGAGGGCCCTAGTTTGCCAAACCCTGAACTACGAGACCTTTAAGGCCCTTTTAGCTCTGAAATACTGAGAATCTGATGTTTTCACACGCCCGACTCATTTCCACACACTCCCTGATTTGGAGCTTATGTCTGTCATCTTACAACTGTCAGGCGGTTTTCCCCTAGAAGTGTGAGGACAGCTGCTGTTGCTGGTCTCGGACCTGCTTAGCGTGAGCCCGTCGTCTCCGTGCTGTCTGGATCAGGAGCTGGCTCTCATGTAGAACTGCTCGGCGCCTGAGCCTCGGGCACTGTGCTGTACACTCTCTCTCGCTCAGTCCTCAGAGTGGCCCAGCAAGGGAGCTGTGCCACCCCCATTTTAGGGGTGGCAGTGCAGGCCCAGTGTCTCACAGCAAATAGGCCCTTCATGTAAGATCAAAGCCCACGTTCCATTCTATCCCAGGCTGCTGTCCTTTAGATATAAACCTATCTAGTCGTCCTCTACTCTTTTGATTATTTGGAGGGAAATACCTCGGTTATATGTTAATTTAGCCTTTTTTGGGGGGACAGTCTCACTCTGTTGCCCGGGCTAGAGTGCCATGGCATCAGCCTAGCTCACAGCAACCTCAAACTCTTAGACTCAAGCAGTTCTCCTTCCTCAGCCTCCCATGTAGCTGGGACTACAGGCAAGTGCCACCATGCCTGGCTAAGTTTTTCTGTTTTTAGTAGAGATGGGGTCTCGCTCTTGCTCAGGCTAGTCTCTAACTCCTGACCTCAAGTGATCCTCCCACTTTGGCCTTAGCCCTATTTTTTTTAACTATAAAGGTAAAACATACAAAAATACTTATAGTAAAAAATGCAAAAAGACCGGAAGGGTATAAAATGACAAGTAACACTTTTTCTCTATCCCCTGCCCTTCATGTCCCCTCCTCTCTGTTGACATTCCTTGTGTATGGAAGCACAGCATTCTGCTTTCATTTTGTGGATGTGCCATGTTTATGGAACTAATCCCTTATTGGTGAACACTTAGACTGTTTCCAGTTTTGAGTTTTTTTATTTTATGTTGCTTTATCGAATAATACTGCAACAAACAACTCCTGATCAATGGTTTTGTTAGTTCAATGGTATATACATATAAAATGTTGACAGATATTATCAAATTGCTCCTCAGAAAAGTTTTGCCAATTTATATAACTAGGGTTGCTCCCAACATTCCTGACAATTTGGGGTAATTTCAAACTTTTAACTTGTATTAGTCTAAATTTATTGGATTGTTCATTTCAAATTAGCCCTTTGTATGTGTGTCATTTGTGTTGCAAATCCTTCCCCAGTTAACCTGATTTTGTTTTAGGGGTGCTTTTTTCTTTTTTTGGTCATACAGTAACTTATAGTGGTAATATGTATAGATTTATTAGTCTTTTCCTTCATGGCTTTTTAGGATTTGTATTATGCTTAGGAAGGCCTTTCCCACTTTGAGAATTTTTTTTAAGTCATAACTGAATTTATTTTCTTCTCCTGGGCCACGCCGATCTAGTCACTTGATGTTTCTTCCAAGGGTTTCCCCCCTCCAGAGAATTATTCACTCTCCTGGTAACTGTCATGATGAGCTAAAGGCCCTCTCTTTCCCATAGAAGCAGATGAGAGCTGAGGAAGCAAAAATTGTTCAAGAAAAAGCTGCCAAGATCAAGGAATGGGTGACATTAAAGTTAGCAGAGGTGAGTCGAAAACTCATCCTGGGGCCTGGGCTTGGGGTGTGGCCGGGGCTGCCCTTGTGCCTGTCGCCTTCTGTTTGCGGTTCCCTGACTGACCTTCACCCATTTGTCACCCATTTGTCCCCCATTTGTCCTTCTTGCTGTGACACCTCACTTCACTCTACTTTCCTTTTGTCTTAGTCAGGTTTCCCGAGAGCTCCTAACAAGCTTTGTGCTATGTTTAAGTTTGGGGAGAAGGAATGAGTCTGAATCCTGAAAAGTCCCCTCAGTTTCCTTCTAAGGAGCTCACAGACCACTGTCCGCTCTCTCCACTTTCTCCTCTGGACTCTCTATTCTTTTTAACTTTTTTTTCTTGTGGTAAAATATACATAAAATTGACCCTTTCGGCTGGGCGCGGTGGCTCACGCCTGTAATCCTAGCACTTTGGGAGGCGGAGGCAGGAGGATTGCTCAAGGTCTGGAGTTTAAAACCAGCCTGAGCAAGAGTGAGACCCCGTCTCTACTAAAAATAGAAAGCAAATTAATTGGCCAACTGAAATATATAGAAAAAATTAGCTGGGCATCGTGGTGCATGCCTGTAGTCCCAGCTACTCGGGAGGCTGAGGCAGAAGGATTGCCTGAGCCCAGGAGTTTGAGGTTGCTGTGAGCTAGGCTGATACCATGGCACTCTAGCCCAGGCAACAGAGTGAGACTCTGTCTCAAAAAAAAAAAAAAAAAAAAAAATTGACCATTTCAACTGTTTCTTTAAACGTACAATTCAGTGGCATTAAGTACATTCACATTGTGCAAGTATCACCCCTATCTATTTCCCAAGATTTTCATCACTCCAAACAGAAACTCTGCCCACTAACGTGGACTCCCTATTATCTTCCCCTTGCCTCTGGCAACCTCCATTCCACTTCCCTCTCTATCCATTCATTGTTGTAGTTCAACACTTGCAACATAGCTTTATTTAGGAAACTCGGGACTAGAAGCTGCAGTGCTACCAGCAAACAAACAAAAAACCACCTCTTTCTAAACAAAAGGAAAGGGAAGGGCAGTTTGGAAAAGGAAGAACATACACCTCTTCTTCCTCTGTCCTCCTGAGACAAGCAGTTCACACCTGCAGGAGGGCATCAGCTCATTTTACCTCCCTTCCCCTTCTTCAGACACACATCTCAGATCACCTGGTAGATTGCAAGTTCTTGGGAACAGAACTGATGGCTGGTTTACCTCCATATCGCCACTGCCCCAACCCTTGCTAAAAAGAGGCTCAAGAAAAGTGTGTTGGATTTAATTTAAAAGAAAATTCAGCAACTATGAGGATGGATGTCATAGATATTATATTGAACAAAACAAGCCAGACCTAGAGCAGGACATACTGTATAATTCCATTTACCTGAAGTTCAGAAATGGGCACAACTACACCAATGAGTAGGGATGCACACTTAGATGGCAAAACCCAGAAAGCAGGACAGTGAATCTGGTAAACTTAGAAGAGTGGTTATCTTTAGCAGGGACTATGTGTGAGTGTGAAGGGGCTAGTCAGACGGTTGTCTAGGTGCTGGCAGATTTCTACTTCTTAGCCTGGGTGCTATCACCTAAGTATTAATTTCAGAATCATTTGTTAAGCTGTTCATTGATATGGTATGCACTTTTTTTTTTGAGACAGAGTCTCACTTTGTTGTCCAGGCTAGAGTGAGTGCCGTGGCGTCAGCCTAGCTCACAGCAACCTCAAACTCCTGGGCTCAAGTGATCCTTCTGCCTCAGCCTCCCGAGTAGCTGGGACTACAGGCATGCGCCACCATGCCCGGCTAATTTTTTATATATATATCAGTTGGCCAATTAATTTCTTTCTGTTTATAGTAGAGACGGGGTCTCGCTCTTGCTCAGGCTGGTTTTGAACTCCTGACCTTGAGCAATCTGCCCGCCTCGGCCTCCCAAAAGCTAGGATTACAGGCGTGAGCCACAGCGCCCGGCCTTGATATGGTATGCACTTTTCTGGATATGCATTATATTTCAAAAAAATTTTTCTAAAAGTTTAAAAATAACTAGAAAAGAAAATGCAGGAGCTGCCAAATTGTATTCTGTCCCAGCCCAAACCCGTTGGTATGAAGGGAGGGAAGCAGTCAGGGCTGTCTGGGAGGTCAGCACTGGATTATCGGGACACCAAAGGCTCTTTTTCAAAGATTTGGGCTTTTAATCTTATTTTTAATTATATGCCCAAACTTACAGGCTGGATATTCTAAATCTTCATTTTTCCTTTTCCTCAGCTTGAGACAGAGAACCAGCACCTGAAAAGCTGTAATCAGCACCTGGTGGAACAGGTGGGAGCCCTTCAGGATGCGCTAGTAGGTACGTGCGCATGCGTGTGTATGCGTGTGCAGTGCGGTGGGGGGCTGAACCGAGCGAGCTCTCAATGTGCCTGTTTTTGCCCCAACCACAGCTCTTCAGATGGCTCCTTCGGGGAAGCTGCTGGTGGCCCCCCAGGGAGCCCCAGAGCAGGATTCTGTTTCTTCAGGGCCAGTACCGCAGACTACAGGCAAGGACAGTGGTCCCCAGGCCCAGGGTCTGAAGATGGCTGTGCCTGTACCTTCTCCAGGTGCCCTGCGGAGCAAGGACTCTGTTTCTGAAGCAGGAAGCCCCTTGGAGGATTCCAGTTCCAGTGTGGTTCGCTCTGGGGAAACAGCAGAGGGCAAGACCCTTCAACCTCATTTGGAAACAGAGGGCTCTCCTCACCGGCTGTGTGCGAAGCCTCGTATCCCCAGATGTGGTTCAGCTTCTTGGAGTGAGGGCCTGGTCACCGCTCAGGGAGGGATGCCCCCTGGGATAAAGACCTGCGCTAGGGAAGGTGTCCCTGGCAGCAGCCTGACCCTGCCAAAGGTGCGGGCTCCTGGCACGCCCCGGGACAGCATCCAGGTGGCCAAAAGGCACCACAGCCAGCCCCAGGTGGGCCCCGGGCACTTTGACCACGTGGTGAGCATTGAGATTGGGGCCTTCTCAGCTCTCCACTCCTCTGGCCTTCGAGCGCTGGAGGCCCGAGCTGAGTTTCTGGAAGAGCCAGAGCAGATGGAGATGGAGGAACCGCCCCTGGCAAGGAAGAAGGAGGAAAGAGAGAGCCGGAAGGCCCCCGGAGCTGAGCTGGAGGAGGTGGAGCTGGGGAAAAAACCGCCCACACCCCCCCTGCACCGGTTTCCATCCTGGGTAAGAGGCGACCTTGGGGCTGGGCAGGGGGCTGAGCTAAGCACAGGAACTGCTGGAGCACATCCACCTGCTGAGCAGGAGATGAGGCTGGTGTCCTTGTGGCCCTGGGAGGAGGGGACCACGACCCTGCACAGACCACCCAACTTGTTTACCTCATTTCATCTTTGTTTTGGGGATTTTTTGTTTTGTTGTTTTTCATTTTTATTTTTTCTATTTGTTGACTGGAAGATGGAATCATTTCATCTTTGTGACTCTTTGAAGTGATATGGTATAGTAGGTAAGAGCACAGGTCCCAGAAGCAAATCACTAGGGTTGAATCACTAACTGTGTGACCCTGGGCATGTTACTAATCCTCTATGCCTCAGTTTTCCTATCTGTAAAATGGGAATAGTAGTACCTACTTATTGGGTTGTTGTGAAGGTATTTGCAGTCATGGTTCACAGTAAGTGGTATGTAAGGGTTGCTTATTTTTATTTTTAGCTTTAGCTTCCTTCTTTGTAACTCTGGGTAAAATGACATGTGGTGGAATTGCTCCAGAAGCAGCAGTCTGGGGTGGGCATGGGAGATGCAGAGGAAGCGTGACTGGCCGTACATTAATCTTTGCCAAGCCGGGCGATGGGTACATGAGGTCCATCTTTATATAATTCTCTCTGCTTCTATGTCAGACATTTTCCATGGTAAAATATAAAAATAAAAATGGGGGAGTCTATACAAATGGCATTCCACAGGTCATCACTGGTGAGGAGGACATGAGGGTATGAAGGGCTTCGCACAGAGCCTGTAGGAAGGATCCTTCCCTGTGCAAGGTGCTGTTTGTCCTTTTTACAGATCAGGAAATCACTTTCCCTCACAGACTTAGGTACTTGCCCAAGGTCAGTGGTAGTTAGTGAGGAGCCAGGCTTTAAATGTAGGTCCAGCTGCCCCCGAAGCCCAGCTCTTACTTTCCAGCGATATGCCCCTTAGGGGACATTGCCAGAGCAGATGTCAGCCTCTTACTCGTGGGCAGACCCTCAGGTGCTGCTGTGGCGTGAGGCAGTGCCATGGTGGGCATCTGAGTGTCAGCTCCTGGCAGCAGAGGGAAGGGGGTCTCCTGGGGAAGGGGGTTTCGTCAGGGTGGTACCACTCCACACCACTGCTTGGGAGACCTGTATCTTCAGCAGCACCTTCCAGGGGCTCCTTCTGAAATGCTGGTTGAGCAAGGCTCACAGCCCCGGGCTGGGCTACATCCTTACCCGTGAGCTCCCACCAACTGCTGATTGCTACAAGGATACCTGCAAGACTGGAGACCCAGCCGAGCCTCAGAGCAGGGCCTGAAGGAAGACTAGGGTCTAGAAAAGTGCAGGTCCCAGGGGCTACCGACCTCTGCCTGCTCTGGAGTCCTAAAGCAGAGATGGGGAGTGGGGGAGCATTCGGGCCAGGGATGTGGCCAGAGGGCTCAGCAGAGAGAAGTGTTGCCCACTCCTGCCACTTTGCACAAATACAGCCATGTCTGTGACAGGTCAGAGTGGGTCTTGTGCTCTGCCTGTCCATGCTAAGTGTGTGTGCATGGTGGGGGGGGTGTGGAGAGGAGGAGAGAATAAGTATGTAAAACACTGCAGATGACACTCTCCCCACATGAACATCGGCCAGACTGGGCGTGAAGGTGTTAAGGCAACATCAGGTCCTCCCACAGCCCCTCCCCTGCTCTCAGCCCACCCTGGGGACCCAAGAATCACCCAAAATAATTTAAGGAGAATCTGTCTCTGGTTTGCAGTCCTCTTTGTAGCTTGCTCCTGAGGAACATAAGACCCAATGTCAGCTCCATCAGGTCCCTAGGGCACGATGGCTCCTGTTGGACCGAGAGCTTAGGGGAACCCACAGTGGCTGGAGAGCCCAGCCTCTGTCTCTCAGGCAGGACCAGCTGGGCCATGACTATATGGGAGAAAAACAAAGACTGGAAATTCAGAGAATGACATTTCTCAATTCGAGGGAGTGGGAAATACTTATGTGCCTTCAGGGTTTGTGGAGCATTTTCAATCCTTAGATTAGATAACCTTTTGTCAAACAGTCCTATGTTTTGTTTAATCTAATTCCTTCAAGTTTCATTTCCTCTGTGAAGTTACAGGCCTGTCCTTGGTTGAATTCCGTGACCACTAAGGGCAGAAATTATCTTTTGGATGCCTAATTTTGCTACTTGGACCCAGCATATCTGCCCAACGTGAGCACAGGAATGCCATGCCCGGCTACAGTGCCCCTCCTTGGCACCCTTCCTCATACCTTGCTGCACCCCCCCTCCCTCCAGTTATCTCAGCATCTCATTGTGGCACTCGCCAGCCCCACCTCCTCCCCGCACTGGCCCCAGAGCTGCTGCTCCCGGATGTCCAGCTGCCTCCTGGAGCTGCATGGCATTCCTCTGAAGGCTGGTGACCTCACCTAGTCAGCCTCTGTGACTCACAGTCACCTGAGCAGGCTGTTGTTTTCCCTTTAGGGTTAGTGGAGAAAACAGATATGGAAAGGCATAGGTGGGCCTCATGGGTTGTTTGGGGAGAAATTAAGGACATTAGAAAAAGCTCCCCGGCCAGTGGCCTACTTCAGCCACCCGGGCACCCTTAGGACAGGCATTCTCCCATAGAAGTGTCCTCTGCATTGGTGTCCCGTTGGGCTAAACAGGCTTCGTAGGTTAGCCCTGAAGCCTAACCATGATATGATATAACATTCTTACTATAGGAAAAAAGAGCTCTGGGTTCCAAAAAACTGTCCTACAAAAGAGCATGCCCTTGAGGCACACACCTGTAGTCCCAGCACTTTGGGAAGCCAAGGTGGTAGGATAATTTGAGCCCAGGAGTTTGAGGTTGTAGTGAGCTGTGATGACACCACTACACTCCAGCCTGGGCAACAGAGTGAGACTCTGTCTCAAAAAAAAAGAAAACAAATAACAAAAACATGCCCTCCTTGTGTGGCCCTGACCTCCTCATTATCAACACCCCCAACTTCTGGGATGAGACCCTAAGACCCGAAGGTCTCTAAAACAGGCAAGGTTCCTAGCAACAGGTTACTGAGCCCCTCTGCTCTTGGACCTCTTTTGCCCCAATGGGAAGGGTGGAGGCAAGAGAGGGAATGAATAACTGTTGGGCACTGACTATATTCCAGGGGTTAAATGCTTACGTTAATCATTTCATTTGATTCTCTCAGCAGCTTGAAAGGTAAGTATTACCTCCGTGGAGGAAAAGGATGCTAGAAATGAAGTAACCAAAATTCCTCAGCCAGTCCCTGGCCCACTTTGGATATGGACCCGGGTCTGCCCACCCCCAGCACCATGCTTTCACTTGCACACACTGGAGGGGCTGCTCTGGGAACAGTCCGGGGCCCTGACCCTCCTGGGACCTCTCATTCTAGGAGAGCCGGATCTACGCCGTGGCCACATCGGGCATGCAGCTCTCAGATGTGTCTCCCAAAAGTATTGCTGCCTACTGTGGTGAGTCCCAAGTGAGGTGCAAAGGGATCAAATGCCCAAGGTGGGAAGAGTGGGCAAGCCGGGAAAAGAATGAGCAACCCCAGGGCCAAGGTCGCCTGGCACCCCGTTCCCTTTCCCAACAGGTGAAGCTCAGGTGGGATCACGCAAGGGTTGCCTAGGAGGGAAAAAGAAGTCCTGCAGGTTCAGCTCATCACAGGGTTGTAGCCAGCCACACAGCTGGAAGGGACCTTCGAGGGTCCTACAGCCCAGCCTCCCACGAGAACAGGTTTCCTCCTGCAGGATGAGGCTGTGGGTGGGAGGAGCCCCAAGTGCCCTGATCTAGATGAATCCAACCCACTGGCTTCTGAATCATAGCCCCTGCATCGAGGGGAGAGCCCCATAGCAGCATGATTAGTAACTCACGTTGGCAAGAGTCAGACACGGTGCAAGCCTCATGGAGCATGAGATGATTAAAGGGCGAGGCTTTGTAATTCCATTGTGATGGATTTTTTACTGCGTGGGGACCACGGTCCCCAAAGAAAGTTAAAAAGATTGGAAAGGAGGAAGAAAAGATGAACAAGGCCTTGGACTCCCCTGAGATCTATATCACCTGGTCTGCTCCTGGAGGGAACGCTGTCTGCATAGCTCCCCCCTTCCTCCTTGTCTCCTCAGTCTTATGCCTCCCCCACACCCTTCCTGGGTTTTACCACCCAAGTTAATCTCATCCCCTTTTCCCTGCTCAGCTTCAAGCCCTCCTGCCCTTGCATCCCCTGGGCCTTTCTCTGGTCTCATCTACAAGAATGTCACCGTGCCTGTCTACACAGCACTGAAGGGGGTAAGAAACTGCTGTGCAAAGAGGGGGTGTCGTGTTCAGGAGAGGCCCTTGGTCTTGGCATGCAATGACTCAGGTAGGGCTCTCGGGTCAGGCCACTGCTCTCAGTGACCCTGCTCAGGGAGCTCAGCCCACCATATGTCATTTTGTCTTATTTATTTTTATTAGGTTGTTGTTATCAAAACTCTACATTTACAAAAATTTGATTCAGTATGAATGTGGCCAAAGTAAGTTTAGGTCAAACCTATGGCTGCTTCACCTCTCTCCATCTTTCCTCAAGTCTGTCCCACTCGCCAGGTGCTGGAGGGCAGCGGGGCTCCTTCCAGAATTGTTTAGATATGTCAAACACGTATTACCATAACATCACTACCTGTTTTTTATAACAAAAATCAGATACAACTGCAACATGATGTTTTCAAACACATTTTTGTCTCTGTTCTTGGTTTTTCAATCATAATAGTTACATTTCATAAAACTTTTTTTTTTCCTCTTCGGGAAAAACTTTTTATAGAAGAATAAAAAACCAAGAGCAAAATTTCCTCTCACATTGCTTTTCCCTGATTCCTAACCCCAGAGGCAACAATCATTAATGGCTTAGTGTTTTATTCTGTAAGGCCCTTTGATGGCTTTACAAATACAGACATTTCTCATCCCCTCCCTCCCTCCCTCTCTCTCTCTCACACACACACACACACACACACAATAGGGATCATATACATGTCATCTGTACCTTAACTGTTCACCTAGCCATAAATGGCAAGCAGAAGTGCCGTCTTCCCTATGTGGCTGCCGGTACCTTTGGTATAGATGCACCCTAAATATTATAAGCTTTCCGATTATTATAATTTAGGTTGTATTCCTGTTTTTCTCTAAAATCAGTGTTGCAATAAACATCATTGTACAAATATAACTTTGTGAACTTACATATACCTATCTCTGTAGGATTAAGTTCTAGAGGTGGAATTTCTGGGCAAATTATATGCATATTTGATAATTTTTGACATACTGCCAAATTACCTTCTAAAAACGCCTTACCGGCCACAGCATCCTGTTTCCCATGTTCTTTACATATTCTCACCAACTCTGAGATAATCAGTCATTTTAAATGTTTGTTAATGGAGACGATCTCTCATTGATTGTTTGGAGGATGTCCCCACGTATTTTTAAAGCTCCTGTCCCATGCTTGCCCTGTGGTGTGGCTTTCTGGCCCCCTAGTGGCAGAGAGCAAGGGTCACAGCGTGTAGGCGGTTAGTCTGGATGGAGCAGCTGCTTTGGGGACCACAGAGGATGGTGTCTTAGGGGGAGGGAGGCCCAAGGAGGAGCTTGGAGGTAATGACACAGAAGCGAGGCCAGGAGGCAACTTGTGCTGGAACAGTTTTTCCAGAGCCCTGGCTGGGCAGTAGCCTCCACGTTGCCACAGACCGGCTGTATCGGCCACATCCACGGTACTTGGAGCCAGAGCGTGAGCTGCAGTGGGGGAGGGGGCCTGTCTTGCAGAGAGCCACCCAGATCAGCACGGTGCCCCTTGTGGATGAGTCCTCCGGGTCCGATGATGACTGCAGCTCTCAGGCGAGTTTCCGGACCTCGTTTCCCTGCTCTGAGTCCAGGAAGACCAGTGGACTAGGCAGCCCTCGAGCCATCAAGAGAGGTACAGAGGAGGGGGGGGTGTAGCAACAAGGAGCTCCTCACCTCTTCCCATGGGCACTTGAGTACGGGGGTCCCTGCTTGATCTGTGCTGTGACCTCCAGCAGCTCCACCCTCCCTAGACTTAGGGGTCCCTCCCAGGTGGGTAGGGAAGGCTCTGCAGCTCCCGGGCTATGTGACTTGGAGGTGTGCGACCCGGGCCTTGACCCCTCCTCCCGTGTCAAGGTGTCTCCATGTCCTCGCTGAGCTCAGAGGGGGACTACGCCATCCCCCCAGACGCCTGCTCGCTGGACAGCGACTACTCAGAGCCTGAGCACAAACTGCAGCGCACCTCGTCCTACTCCACCGACGGACTGGGCCTAGGAGGGGTGAGCTGGGAGCACGACCCACACCCTGCTGGGGGCGGGGGACGGGGTGGGAGCACAGCTCCGGCAGAGGCTGCATGGGGCCCTCAGCACAAGGTGCAGGGCCTGGGCTGGGTGGAGGGAGAGGGCATGGGGCTGGGCTGGGGGGTTGCGCAGTAATGGAGGCAGACACACGCAAACCCCAGGAGGGAGGGAGGAGGGAGCCTGGTGAACTCCTCAGCATACCAAGAACGGCCAGTTGCTGAGAGCCCACCACGGTGCATGGCCCTTGTTTGATCACCACTCTGACCCTGGAATGGTAACTCCAGCTGACATTTACTGAGCTCTCACAGCGTGCCAGGCGCTGTGCTCAGTGCTTTTCCTGCCTTGTCTCATTTCTCCTCCTGATCCACTTGGCATTATTATCCCATTCTGTGGATGAGAAGCCTGAGGCTCTGAGACATGCTACTACCTGTCATGGCCGGCAGTAATATGGATCTATCCAACTTCCAAGCCCACACCCCATACCTCTCTGCTGCCCTGTCCCCTCTCCCCACTCCACAACCCTCCACCCAGTCTGGCTGATGTGCCTGGTGTTCCCAGACCACCTTGCCTTCTCTCCCGTCTGTGCTACCTTCCTCCTCTCAGCTCATCTTCCAGGGAGAAGCTGGCTCTTCCTTTAAAGGCCTGTTCAGGTCTAGCTCTTTCCTGATGTCCTTCCTGGCCCACCTCTCCCTCTTGCAGCCCTTGATCTGCCATCTTTTCAGGGCGAGGTCTTCCCCAACTGTCGTGGGAGCCCTTCAGTGGCAGGACCACCCATGCTTTATTCAGTTGCCTCTGAACCCTTAGCAGGGCATGGCACAGTGAAAATACATGTAGTAGGTGCTCAATAATTTTCTTTTAAAAATTGATACCAAAGCCGTGACTCAGCTGGACCATTTAGGCCTGTGTGATGTCCAGGAGCCCCAGGTAATTTCCCTTTTCTGTTCCTCTCTTCCCTCCACACTCTTCCACCCCTCAGGAGTCACTGGAGAAGTCAGGCTACCTGCTGAAAATGGGGAGCCGGGTGAAGACATGGAAGAGGCGCTGGTTCGTCCTGAGACAGGGACAGATTATGTACTACAAGTCCCCGGTGAGAGCCTCCTCCCTGGCACTCTAGTCAAAAGGACCCCACCCAGATAGATGCTGGACTGTGTGAGGTGGGACGGAGAGGGCAGGTGTGGCCCAGGGCCAGAAGGGCAGAGGTCTGGCAGGCAGGGAGAGGCCACCTGACTGGGCATCCAAGTCTTGGAGCCACACATGGGGACAGAGGCTGGTAACCAGTGTTCACAATGGAATAAGGCGGAGACAGGTAAAGGCAGCTTAGGCCAGTTGGCCTGGCGAGTCCTTCTTCCTTCAGAAGCTGATTTCCTCTATGCCCAGTTCTGTAAAAGAACTTTCCCAGGCTGCCCTCACATCACCTAGAGCAGGGGTCCCCAATCTATGGTGAGCTGTGCAATTATTTCATTATATATTATAGTGTAATAATAATAGAAATAAAGTGCACAATAAATGTACTGCACTTGAATCATCCCCAAACCATCCCCTTCCCTGCCCTCTGCCTGGGTCTGTGGAAAAATTGTCTTCCATGAAAATGGTCCCTGGAGCCAAAAGGGTTTGAGACCACTGATCTAGATTGTTCTAACAAGCGAGTTGATTGCCTCCTCCAACCTTCTTCCTCCACTGTTTGGAATTAAGGAGCCTTGGATATAGGAACTAGTTGATGGGACCTCCCTGAAGAACCAATGTTAATGTTTTAAAGAGGGCAAAAAGGCCTCTTGTGCGACTATAAATGACTGGCAGTGACTGTTGTGAACACCACGATAAGGATTCTGGGCCTGTGTGCTCAGTAAGAAAGCATGCCGAGATTGATTGGTAACATCTGCAGTGACACTGGAAAGGGTACTAATAGTAATACATATGTCATTTACTTGCCATACTTGGTATAAAGGATATAGTAGAAAGAATTTAAGGGCTTTGTAGTTCAGTAATAACCAGGTGGCTTCTGACCCAATTTTAAAGTCTCATTCTATCCTTTTTTGTTTCTTTAGGGTTTTTTTGTGACAGAGTCTTGCTCTCTCATCTTGGGTAGAGTGCCATAGCATCAGCCTAGCTTATAGCAACCTCAAACTCCTGGGCTCAAGCGATCCTCCTGCCCTACCCTCCTGAGTAGCTGGGACTACAGGCATGTGCCATTATGCCCGGCTAATTTTTTCTATTTTTAGTAGAGGTGGGGTCTTTCTCTTGCTCAGGCTGGTCTCGAACTCCTGAACTCAAGCACTCCTCCTGCCTCAGCCTCCCAGAGTGCTGGGATTACAGGCATGAGCCACCCAGCCTGGCCACATTCTATCCTTTTTGAGGCCTGGGTCAGAAGGATCCATGTTTCTAATTAAGGTTCCATGTAGCTATTAATTTTTTTTTTTTTGAGACAGAGTCTCATTCAGTTGCCTGGGCTAGAGTGCCATGGTGTCAGCCTAGCTCACAGCAACCTCAAACTCCTGGGCTCAAGTGATCCTTCTGCCTCAGCCTCCCGAGTAGCTGGGACTACAGGCAGGTGCCACCATGCCTGGCAAATTTTTTCTATATATATTTAGTTGGCCAATTAATTTCTTTCTATTTTTAGTAGAGATGGGGTCTCGCTCTTGCTCAGGCTGGTTTCAAACTCATGACCTTGAGCAATCCGCCTGCCTCGGCCTCCCAGAGTGCTAGGATTACAGCACTATGGCTATGAGCCACCATACCTGGCCTTGCTATTAATATTAATAGAACCAGAATCTATAATAAGTTACCCACCATAACGTAAGTTACCCACCAGGCATCTTGGGAATCACTATCCTGTTTGCCTGTGACCTGGAGTAAGCTATAAGGGGAAGGCTCCACACTCCAATCACTTTCCTCCCTTTCCTTCCTTTACAGAGTGATGTCATCCGGAAACCTCAAGGTCAAGTGGATCTGAACTCCCGTTGCCAAATTGTTCGAGGGGAGGGTGCCCAGACATTCCAGGTGAGCTTGCTCCTAGCAGCTAGTATTCAGACAGAAGAGGTGCTGGGTTTGGATATGGCTGTGACTGAGACAAAGATGGGGCAAAATGAGCATGAAGGAAAGACATGACATCAATATTTGGGTGTAATCCTAGTTTGTGAGTATGAGAAAGGAAGAGGAGACAGAATGTGAGAGGTGGAGGGAAGGAAGGAAAGACAGGGAGAAGAGGAGGAAGAAAAGAAGGGAGGGAGCCAGAGGGTAGGAAGAAGGAAGGCCCAGTGGGTTCTGGGGTCTGGGCCACCCCAGAGCCAGGTCCTGGTTATTCCATCCTCCTGTCTTGCTACCCCTGGCCCTGTGTCTCACCCTCCACAGCTCATCTCTGAGAAGAAAACCTACTACCTGACGGCTGATTCACCCAGCCTGCTGGAGGAGTGGGTCCGGGTGCTTCAGAGCCTGCTGAAGGTGCAGACCACTGGGCCTCCAGCCCTGCCTCGGGGTGGCACCAAGCCCACAGTCAAAGGCTGGCTGACCAAGGTATGGCATGGGGCTGACAGCAAAGGAATGTCAGGGGAGCCAGGAGTGGGAGTGCCAAGGGGTGGTGAGTCCCCTTCTTATATCATACACGGCTCCTTTCTCCAGGAACTTCCTCACAGTGATCGCTGGTTGGCCTTAAACATGGTCTGACCACAGGTGATGGTGACTGATACCCTGGAAACCAAGATCAGGGTTGTTAGAACAACTGTTCTATCCAACTGCTTGTCTTGGCTTTCTTAAAAAGCAAAAAAAACTATTTTCAAGACAGAAGAGGGACAGGAATGTCTTATACCTACTTTGAGGTCATTAGGGGTTGCCCCCATCCCCACCTTGTACCCACCACACCCCAGCCTCAATAGTGGGAAAGACCCAGACGAGGTAGTTGTGGTCATTCACAGACTTGCAGGATCCCCGGCCTGCCCTGAAGACATTTCAGTTAGGGCTTTCTGGTTGTAAGGAGCAGAGAAATACTTGGTAACTCCAAGAAAAGGGAAGTTAACAGGGAAGCACGTGAACTAGACCAGAAGACCGTCAGGAACCAAAGCACCTCGTGCTTAGCAGCCTCAGTGCTCGCGGGCTCGCTCTGTCTGCCTCTGCTTCCTCATTCAGTCTGTGTTTGTGTCATTCTCCTCTGCCTGTGTGTGGTTTCTGTTCCCTGCCATGGCCCTTACCTCCCTGACAACCCTGGCCTCTGCCAATCAGCAAGTTCTTCCTGTTTTCACATTCCTGGGGGGATGTCTGATTGGCCTGGTTAATTGTTTAATGGCAGGTCATAAGGCACTAGGGTGCCACGTGGTGCCCACCATGGCTTCTCGCTGTGAAAGGGGTGGTTCCATTAGCAGGGAGTCAGAGTGGCATCCCCACTAAGGACCTGAGTTTGACTGTAGGTCCAAGGTCACCTGGTTCTCATAATGTGGATCATTTCTGTCTCACAGGTAAAGCATGGCCACTCCAAGCTGGTCTGGTGTGCTCTCATCGGGAAAACTTTCTACTACTATCGGAGCCATGAGGACAAGGTATTTCTTCCACCTCCTGTAGCACCCACTCTCCTGCTCCCCCTAAAGCACATTACTGTGGCTCCATCCACCCCACCTAACCCCATAACAAGTACAAAAGCCAGTTGGCTGATCCCTCCAGAGTGCGTGGCCAAGTGCATGTGGCTGGCAAATTGTGCCTGTGTGGTCCATGGTGCTTCTCTAGGCAGGCCTCATTCTGCTCCTGGCCCGGCTGGGGAGCTGCAGTCTGCATTGCCCACCTCCCCGTGCTGTCATCCGTCCACATCCACACTTGCCAGCCCTACAAGCCCAAGCATTCAGAGAGAAGAGACTCTCCCGTCCCCCACTGGCTCTCCCATTCACGGAAGGCTCATGTCCACAGCGACCCCTGGGCCGTCTGCCTGTGCGGGACGCGCGCATAGCGGAAGTAGATCGATCCTGTGACTCAGACGAGGACTATGAGGCTGGAGGAACTGGCCGGCTGCTTTCCTCCCACTGCACCCTGGTGATCCACCCTCCAGAGCACAGCCCCACCTACCTCCTCATCGGCACAAAGCATGAAAAGGTAAGGAAGGGGGCTGGGCCTCCGTGGCCAAGCTTCTGATCTTCTTTCTCTCTTTCCCCTGAGCTTCCCAAAATTCAAGTTTGTTTCCCTCTTGGGCAGTGTGGCAACTAATACTCTCTGAACGGGAATATTCCTTTATATTAAATTCATTACCAATGACCAGTGTCTCTTCACTGGGGCCATGGGATGAAACTTGGAAACTTCAGTTCATGTTCACCTGATCTTGAGTCTTTCCTCTTAGAGACTGTTGACCTTTTCTTGTGCCAACCAAATTAACTGAACCCTACCATGGGATTGGCCCCTTCAAGACCCTTCAGATTCCCCCCTCTGGAGGCACCCCACACTGTGCTACAGCAAAGACGGGCTGTCCACCCCCCTCACCACCCTGCCCTCCGAGGCCCTACAGACAGAGGCCCTCCTTGGAGCTCTTGCCTCCACTCTTCTCACCATTCCTATCTGGTGGCTTTCTACCCTCTTCCAGGATACGTGGCTTTACCACCTCACAGTGGCTGCAGGTGGCAGCAGTGCCAAGGTGGGCACTGCCTATGAGCAGCTCATTGGAAAACTGATGGATGGTGAGGGAGACCCAGGTAAGGCAAGGGTGGCATTGCTGCTCAGGGTGGGGGGAAATGGCTGGGTGATTGTTGGTCAAGAACACAAAGCACTGTTGTGCCATGAAGCTGGTTTTAAAACATCTAGGCCACAGAGGGGACTTCCCATCCCAACTCTAGGGCCCCTCTGTCTCTGGCCAAGATACTGCAGTGACCACTCTGAATCTTGGGGGGTTTATCTGGGAAGCAGACTTTCCAGGGACTGTGTAAATGGTTTACTTTGTTCAACCTGCAGCTTTGCTGGCTGGGCAGAGGGTTGAGGAAAGAAGGTAGCTGGTTAATCTGTAGTTAGAGTTTGTTAATCAATAAATGAAACCTAAATGGGCATCAGGCTAACCTAAACCTAGGCTGTTTGGGGTCTTTATTTCCTACTGATCCTCAGGATCCTGAGAAACTAACGAGTGACACATCCCTCAAAATCCCTTTACTACTGCTCCGAGGCTTCTTTATGTCAGGCCGATTCACATACTCCTCTGCCCAAACCTGACACTCTAAGTGGCCGCCTCTGCACACATCCTCTTGCACTCAGACACCCACAGCCTTGCACACTCACTCCTGCTGCAGCTCCACGAGGAAGGTGGTGCCCCCCACCTGTACAGCCTTGCTGGGAGTGTGCTCGCTGCATTGCACACCTGCATACCCCACTCTATGGAGGATAAGCCCAGCACAACCCATGTGTTCCCGATAAACCATTATCTTCCCCACAGATTAAAGTCGGGGGTAGGTGGGAGGTGAGTATCCTCAGTGGTAACTGCTGCTGCTCTCTGGTGCTGTGCTTTGGGCAGATTCCCCCCTCTGGAGGCACCCCACGCTGTGCTACAGCAAAGACGGGCTGTACACCTCCCTCACCACCCTGCCCTCCGAGGCCCTGCAGACGGAGGCCCTCAAGCTCTTCAAGGTAAAGAGGGAGCGTAGCTCAGGCCCACTGCTGGCAGAACCCACACCACATTGCTCGGGCTCTGCCAGGAGCAGCTTGAGCCCACTGTGGTGACGCTTGGGTGGAGGAGACCCATGCAGTCAGGGGGTGGCCCACAGAGGGATCTGGAGGAGAAGGGACAGAAACTCCCACAGGGTCCCTGTTGCTTCCTTTGTGGCAAGAATGTAATCCTCTCCCTGGGAGGGAGGAAGCTCTGGAACATCATGCACAAGTCCTTGGGAAATGCGGATGGAAACTCTCCCTCAAGGAGCCCCCCTCCCTCCTGTAGTTAAGCAGGAAAGGCCAGGTTCATGTTGCCTCTGGACCCGAGAGATTCTGACCTATTTTAGAACATTCTTTGTGCCCATCTGCATTTTCTATTTTTATAAAAAAATGAATTTATCTTGCTTATGTAATGGAAACATTAAGAAAAGGAAAGATCCTATCCCTTTCAGTAAGCATCTATGCTCTCAAGCAGTAAGAGTGCTTCTCTTAGAAAGGGCTGTCTCTTGGTGAACTTGAGCATCCCTCGAGCTCTGGGGGAATGGCCCAGGTTGTTTGCCTCTCCGCTTAAAGTCAGAGACCCCATTCAACTGTCAGAGATGACAGTGACCCAGGGGCTGTCAGTCCACCTGTGCTCACCGTCGTTTCCCTCCCAGTCCTGCCAGCTCTTCATCAACGTGCCTGTGGAAGCCGCCTCAGTGGACTACCACGTGTCCCTGGCCCAGACGGCGCTGCAGGTCTGCCTGGTTCACCCCGAGCTGCAGAGCGAGATCTACTGCCAGCTCATGAAGCAGACCAGCTGCCGCCCACCTCAGAAGTATTCCCTCATGCAGGTGGGCCTCCCCAGGCAGAAGAGCGGACAGGAGCCAATGGCAAGGGCTGCCCAGGTGGGAAGGGCAGGCATGCACTGAGCCTAGCCAGCAGGTGTCTAGGTGCTTGAAGCTGCTTCGGTATAAGCCATGCTGTCCGTGCACCATCAGATCGGGTGACTGCCGCTCTGGGTCAGCCTGACCAACTGGGCCATACCAGGACCCACTGCATCCAGGGCTTTGGTTTGGGGAAAGAGTGCTCAAGGCTCTGCAGCTCAGGGCTGTGAGGGCAGGTGGCGCTGCAGACCCAGCACTCACCCCATGTGCCTGTGTCCCTGACAGTGCTGGCAACTTCTGGCTCTGTGTGCCCCACTTTTCCTGCCTCAGCATCACGTCCTCTGGTATGTCAAACAGCAGCTCCAACGCCATGCAGATCCCAGGTGAGTGAACCTGGCTGTTTCCTGTCACTCGAGCACGGCCAACTGCGGCAAGAATAAGAGGGACGAGGAGAGACTAGGACAGAGCAGATCGCTCCCACCCTCTCTGATTGCCTAGTGGTCAGGGAGACTTCACCCATCATTGTGCACATAAATAGGCACATGGTGATCTGGGCATGCTTGGTCTTCAGTGCACACCAATCCATGTGTCCAAGGATGTATTGTGACAGCTCTCATGTAAAGCCACATTGCTCCCAAATTGTCCCCAAATGCTCATTCTCTGTTGCCATGTCCCCTGGCTTCTGGAAGAAAATATCCATGCCAACAGCCAGCTACATATAGGTCCTGAATGACAAATTAACACCCAGACCAGAGTCTGCAGGGCTGTCCTCACAACCTGCCCCAGCTATAGTTTTGGTCTTGGCTAAGTCTGGGTAGGGACTCAGGGTGCCAAGGTGGCAGGATAAGCAGAGTCCCTAACAGTCTTGTCTTCTCTTGCCTTTTAGAAATGAAACTGGCCAGTATGCCACCTACTGCCAGCGAGCAGTGGAGCGGACCCTGCAGACTGGGGAGCGGGAAGCCAGGCCATCACGCATGGAAGTGGTGTCCATCTTGCTGCGCAACCCCTTCCACCACTCCTTGCCCTTCAGCATCCCCGTGCACTTTGCCAACGGGACTTACCAGGTGAGGAGGCTAGGCGTGCTCCCTGCCCCGGGTCTTCTGTTGCTGTCCCAGGGGAGAATACCTTTGAGCCAGGTGGGTCCTAAGGCTCCTTAGGCTTGGTAGATTCTTTTTAAAAAATCATCCAGCCCAAAATGTCATTGGCAGATTCTTATCAGGCAAATTAGCAAAAGGGATGGGCGTAGGATTTGGGGGTAGGACTGGGGTGGTTAGTGCCAGTATGTAGGGAGAAAGGAGCTTGGATTATAAAAGTGCTTCACTGGTGCCCTGGAAATAGATCTCTTGAACCCAATGCATGAACAGCAAGGCTGAGTCACTGACCAAGAAAGTGACATAAGAAAGGGCCCCCAAAATACTGTCAGTACAGGAGGGACCAAGCTCACGTCCAAATCCAGTTTCCAAATGGGCAGGCTCACATCCCTCATGCACCGGCCCTCTGCATGTGAACACGGAAGCTGACTTGCTCTGGCCTCTCGAGTTCACCCTGGCTCCTTTCCACCTGCTGTGCTCAGACCCCTCCACTAGCCCTAGCGAGCGCCTCTCAGGAAGTTTGTTCTGGGAAAATCACTTCTCCCCCGACAGGTGGTTGGTTTTGACGGCTCCTCCACAGTTGATGAGTTCCTCCAGCAGCTGAACCAGGAAACAGGCATGAGAAAGTCATCCCACTCTGGCTTTGCCCTCTTCACAGATGATCCTTTCGGCAGGGACCTGGAACACTGCCTGCAGGGGAGTGTCAAGGTGACAGCCTCCCCACTAAGCCAATTGAGCCCCTCCTGAGTCCCCTCCCAGCTCAGGGATATTGGTGGTGGGTAGAGAGCCCATCTAGCGGGTACCTGACTGTTCAGCAGCCTGTTTGGTGCTGATCCCAAGGTGCTACCTGGGTCAGCATTCCTGTCATCCTAAAATTTACCTGGGCAGGCAGAGAAAAGCTGACCTGTTGTGTGCCCTTGTCTCTGGAAACAAGATCTGCACACCCTGCCTTCCTCAAGTGGCTGTGCAGCATCCAGAGGGGAAGCCTCTTAGATCAGTGTGTTGACAGGGAGGCCCCACAACGCTGCTGCCAGTTCCATCTGCCCTCTCATAGGCAGACAGTTCTATGCCTAGACCCACTAGGTACCATGTTGTACAAGTGCACCTCACTTTTACCTTTTCTGCTGGGGCCCATGCCATGCTTCTGGGTTCAACCATATTCTAAGAGGTAGGTCCTTATGGTACGCCTGCAAGTAAAGACCCTTGAAGGGGATTTCATACTGATCTTGTATTATGGCCTGGGACTAGTACCATGGCAAGTGTTAAGTGTTTGTGGGAACCTGCTATAGCACTTGATGAGTCTTTTTTTTTTTTGAGACAGAGTCTCACTCTGTTGCCCAGGATAGAGTGCCATGGCATCAGCCTAGCTCACAGCAACCTCAAACTCCTGGGCTCAGGTGATCCTCCTGCCTCAGCCTCCGAGTAGCTGGGAGTACAGGCATGCGCCACCATGCCCGGCTAATTTTTTTTCTATATATATTAGTTGACCAATTAATTTATTTCTATTTTTAGTAGAGACGGGGTCTCACTCTTGCTCAGGTTGGTTTTGAACTCCTGACCTTGGGTAATCCTCCCACCTCGGCCTCCCAGAGTGCTAGGATTACAGGCATGAGCCTCTATAATCTTTTAATGTTGCCTGGCAAAGCTGTGCCATGTATCTTTGTAAATGTCTGGGCATCTGTAAGGCTCTGTTACAACAGATCTCTGGGTATGTTTGTTGAAGAGGAGAATGGCAGTGAATAGAATGGAAATAGAGCCAGTGATATGAGGCCATGTTTTTTGATTGGCACCTGCCTAGCCTCTGGGGAGGCCCCTCAACTGTGAAGGTGTTGGGGGCAGAGTTCCTGGCTTTGCTGCTCCCCATGCTCACAGTTCCTCATCTGTGAGGGAGTCCATGGGTTCTGGGAGCATCTCAGGTCCTGAGCATGAGGCCCTGCAGGCCAGCCTCCTGATGGGAGGACCTCACTCAGCTTTGCTCTGCTTGGCCCAAGTCTAGCTCTGGCTGGACCATGTTCCCCTTATCAGGGGCTTTCCTGACTTTCCTCTTTTTGCCTCTTCAAGATCTGTGATGCCATCTCCAAGTGGGAACAAGCCCTGAAGGAGCTGCATGCTGGAAAGTCTGAGGGTGGGACACGCGTCGTGAAGCTGATATACAAGAACAGGTCATGAGCACTACATGAGGGTGGGGCCAAACACAAGGGCTGAGTACCAGCTCATCAACTCAGCTAGTGACCTGTCTGGACAGGCACAGGACCCACAGATGTAACACTGCCTGGTGGACACTAGCTGGGGCCCAGGCTGGCTCTGCTTTTGATCCTCTGAGACCCAGGGCAGCGCAGGCTGTCAACCTTCCCTGTACTGTGTGTGTGCACATACGTGTGCATACACATGCCAAGAAAACAGACCAACATCATGGGAATGCTGCACATGTTACTTTATCAAAGTGGTTTTGTGTGATTACCAGATAGTTAAGGCTAAAGTATAAATAGCTCCTATACCAATTCCAGGAAATGCAAAAGTAGACATCCTGACTTTCTATCAATTTGAGTAAGAAAATCCCATCCCAGTATGTCTCTAGGCAAATAATTTCCATTAGTCCTTGGAAGGTTAACGCTAATAAGCTATGATTCCAGGTACCAGATTCTGCTCATCAAATCCAGTAAGTCTAATGGTATATTTGGAATTAACTATGTCTTCCTGTTGGCATGAAGTCTGTATGGCCCTACATCTGCTCTGTGTCATCCTTGATTACATGTTTCTGGAGGCAAAACAAAATAGGCTCATAAACAGTGTAAAATGAGTAGTTTCTCTTTTTGGGAATCAAGATAACAGATCCAGAGAAAGCCGTCTCTCCGGGATCCCAGCTGAGCCCTGGCTTCTTCTCATTCTCTTCCCTGTAGGCTGTACTTTCGCAGTCAAGTCAAAGGGGAGACGGACAGAGAGCGGCTGCTCCTTGCCTCCCAAGCTAGTGGAGAGATAGTGGCAGGGAGGTTTCCTGTCAACAAGGAACTGGCCCTCGAGATGGCTGCTCTGATGGCCCAGGTAAGGATCTGTTCCTGAGGCAGGAGGGTCATGCCATCTGAGGGCTGAAACACGGAGGTTCTGCAGATCCTGTGTTGCCCAGGAGAGGGCGGCCTGGCCACCTCTGGTATGGAGCACAGCTGACTCCTTCCTCATTGCAGACACATGAGCACAACGATGGACTTGAAATCCAGAGACCTGGGTTGGAGTCCTAGCTACCTTCCCACTGTGAGATTTTAGCCAAGGCACTTCCCTTGTCTATCCTTTAGTTTCCTTCTCTGTATGTATTTTTTATCTTGATTTATTGAAGCTCAGAGGGTTTAAGTAACTTGAGCCAGGACACAAAGCTGGTACATGGCAGAGCTGGGATTTGAGCCAGGTGTCTGACTCCCAAGGCCAAATTTGGAACGCTCTGCCATGCTCTAGGGTCTGTAGCATCTTCAATCCTGTATCCCATAGCTTTTATATATATATATTTTTTTTAGTTGGCCAATTAATTTCTTTCTATCTTTAGTAGAGACAGGGTCTCGCTCTTGCTCAGGCTGGTTTCAAACTCCTAACCCTGAGCAATCCACCCGCCTCAGCCTCCTAGGGTGCTAGGATTAACAGGTGTGAGCCACTGCTCCCAGCCTCTAAGGTCTATAAATCTTGAGATGACAGATTTTTCCACAGTGTTTTTCACATCCATTCGTACCCCACCAATTAAATAATAAAGTAATGGCTTATTTCACCTCTCAAACAGCACCTACCTGGCCCCCTATACCTCTAGATTCTTGATTGGTCTCTGCATGTGTTCCTACCGCAGGTAGAATATGGGGACTTGGAGAAGCCTGTCCTGCCAGGCCATGGGGGCACACCCCCTGCCAAAGCACAGCATCTCCTCCAGCAGGTCCTAGACAGGTTCTACCCAAGGCGCTACAGACACGGGGCTCCCCCAGAACAGCTGAGGTAGGTAGGCTGCAAAGTCTTGTGGTCCGTCCCTGTGGATGGCCTTGGAACTGGAATGAAAATATGTTGGCACTTCATTGGCACCCTTTCTCTCCATCTGCCCAAACCAGGCACCTGGCAGACATGCTGACCACAAAGTGGGCAGCGCTGCAAGGCTGCTCCCCTCCTGAGTGCATCCGCATCTACCTGACCGTGGCCCGGAAATGGCCTTTCTTTGGTGCTAAGCTCTTTGCTGCTCAGGTAGGTGCCAGTGGAAGGAATGGCCCACACACTCGGGAGCACTCTTAGTGTCTCCTGGAGCCGTGTCCTGTCTGCTCGTCCGGAGCTAGGCCAGTCTGCAGCCCTCACCTCCACCCTGGCAACACCAGGGCTCACACTCTCCCCACCCATTTCTGGCCTACTCCAGACTTCCAGATCCAGAACAGAGCTGTGATTCATTGCTTATCTTCATCTTTCCTTTGCTGACTTCTCAGTGCTAATCCTGAAAGAAAAGATAGGATCGACTAATTCACACACAAGGATTCAGACTTGATATCACTCTTGAGTGCTTTCATTTTTAAAAAGTTTGCAAGGTAGAACAATGTATAACCTAAACAAATACATCTCCACTGGTGTGGCATGGCACATGGGAATCACACTACTCAGGTGACAGTTAATTGCACCTCTCTGTGAAGGCCAGTAGTAATTTCAGTGGGAACTTTTCTTCACCAGGTATCTGGTGTGTATGAACTTTATAGATAATCACAGGCATTATCCCGTGCTCAAAGCTAGATGGTGATCCTGTTCACTAAAACTACAGATGAGAAAATGGACATTTACTCATTCATTCAACACACAGTTGTTGAGGTAACTCCCACTATGTCCAGTGCTAGCTATTTGAGGTTATAAGAGGTGAGCAAATCGGATACAGTCCTTGCCTTCATGGAGCATCCCTTCCAGTGGGGGAAATACTCATTCATCAAATAATCATATGCATAAGTCATTCTCATTCTCTCTCTCTCTCTACATATATATATGTAAAATTTTAACCAGCTGTCTTAAGTGCCATGAAAGAAAAGTATAGGGGTATTATAAAGGCATGTAACGGAGAACCACTTGGTCTGGGAGGCTGTGAGAGGCTGGGAAAAGCTTCTGAAAAAGGTGACATGTTCATCTGTCTCCTTCTTGGGTAGGAGAAATAGATCTTCTAGATTACCCTACTGTAGCCTGGGCAGTGAAAATTAGTCATTGCAGGAAATGTCCACTGAACAGTCACTTTCTTACTGGTAGGGATAAAGCCCATAAGGTTGCATTTTTTTCTTTCTTTTTTTTTCTTTGTTTGGTAGAGATGGGGGTCTCACTCTTGATCAGGCTGGTCTCCAACTCCTAAGCTCAAGCAACCCACCCATCTTGGCCTCCCAGAGTGCTAGGATTACAGGTGTGAGCCACCCTACCTGGTCAAGATTGCATTATTGCTTTCCTATTTCTTTTACAGTCCCCAGGAAAATGGTTGAAGCCACATGCACTTCAGTTGGGAGCCTGTGGAATCCTATGTTCTTGAGAACTAGGAAAAAGCCTATTCCTTATCCCCAGGACAGAGCAGCCAGGGCTGGCCTGTATTTTGTAGCACAGAGCTTTCCATCCAGTGTACTGTGGCAGCATGGGTTCTAGGTATGCCTCGAGAGTGATCCCCTCTGCCCTCGGGATGGTTAGTAGGTGGCCAGAGCCCCAAGGCTAGATGCCTCCTGACACAAACAGCCTTATCTATTTACTGTGTATACAGTACAAATACCATCTTCAGATCCACAGATGTGCCTTCTCATAAAGTCCTTACAGTTCAGAATCTCTGTGGATATGACTGATGAGATTTTTCTGTTTCCCCAGCCGGCCCAGGTGTCTTCCAAGGAAAACACTCTGCTTTGGATTGCGGTGAATGAGGATGGTGTCAGCATCCTGGACCATAACACCATGGTACGGCAGGGTGAGGGCTGGCTCCCTGACCCTCCTCCTCCTGAACACTGTCTTTTCTTCTCCTCTCTGATCTCAAAGGCCTGAGCCAAGTGACCCTGGTTTCCCTACCCACACCCAAGTTGCTGTTCTCTAGTCTAGACAAAGCTTGTAGACATTCAAGATGAGTATCTCCAAATTATGACCACTTCAGAGTTCTCCCTTCTTGGTTAAGGCTTCCTGTGCCTATAAGAGACAGGGAATGCTGGTTCCTAGCTCAGGGGATAGGTGGAAGGTTCCCCCCAGAACTAACTGGTTCCTTTCCACAGCAAGTGCATGTCACTTACCCCTACTCTTCAGTGATGACCTTTGGTGGCTGCAGGGATGACTTCATGCTTGTGATTAAGTCCATTCCAGACCGAAGCTCTGGAAAAGGCCAGATTGAGAAGTTGATCTTCCGGATGGCTGCTCCCAAGGTGGGTCTGACAGCTGCTAAAACATTTTAATCTGATCTTGCATGATGTAGTGGGCTTGAAGCTTAGAGGACTAGAGTTATGACTGTGTTCTAGATGGGCCCTACCCTAAATAAAATTATTTGTAGTTGGGACAAATAAAAAGGGTTCTGGTGGATTTGTATATAGGATCACTGTTGGGCTAGTAGGTAGAAGAACGAGTTAGGAGGGAGCTGACTTTGGTCTAGCTACCTACTACTGTGCTCTTTACTGGAATTCTCCAAGCCCCAGCACCACACAGGCCTGAACTGGGTGCCCACTTGCTCCTCTTCTTTGCAGCAGACCCCGGGTAGAGCAGCTTCCTTTGTAAGGTGCTCTCATCTCACCCCTGGGTTCTGTCGACCCAACACTAGGTACAAAGTGGGACAGTCTCCACACTGCTCCTTCTTCCTTGTGGTCTTAAAGATGGCAAAAAGACTTCTTTTGCTTTAAGGACTCTGTTCCTACTCAGTACAGAAAATGTTGACCAGCAAAAATAACAATTACAAAGGCTCAGAAACCTAAGTTCTGATTTATTGTTCCTGACTCCCTGCTGAGAGTAACTGGAAACCCTGTTCTCCATTATCCTCAAGTTGAAGTTTGCCAAACCACCTCCTCCTTTTATTACCACCCCCGCTAAAGAAGAGGATATACAGACCTCTTACCCAAGAAGGCCCCCTTCCCTGGCTGTAGAGCTAACCAGAGCAGAAGGTTGGTCCTCCTTTTCTCAGGAGGGTACTGTGTGTCTCAGAGGACTCCTAGTCCAATGCTCATTTCACTAGGCCTGTAAACCTTACAGTAATGATTCCCTTTGGGTATTTTCTCCCAGGTGGGTATTTTAAGAGATTAAAGAAACCGAGGCCCAGGAAGGCTATATACCCAATATAACATCTACATCTAGTAAGTGAGAAAGTTAGGATTCAAGCCACGGCTAGTTCAATTCCTTCACTTCTCTGACCTCTCCTTAGATTGCGGAAGCTACCTTCATCATGGCCAGCTACATGAACCATTGCTCGGCAAATGTGAACCCATCCACCAACCCGCCAGCAGCCCGTCAGCTGTGGGACCTGGATGGACGACAGTTCTTTGCCTCTGTTCCCCATGCTACCAAGGGGCCAACGTTGCTGTGAATATTTCTCCTACCCCTTTCCCCACCACCACTGGTGCCTCTGGGATTAGAGATATATATCCTGGGGTGTGATACTACTGTGATGGGTCTAACAGCCCCCCTCCCGTTTGTTCTGTGGAATATGTATCTCATTGTCTGTGAAACCTTTATTCTCTACATGCCTTATAATGTTTCAGGGCCCAACTTTTAAAAATCCAGACCCAATGTAAAAACCACTTACTCTTCATAAGAATAATGACTCTGGATGCTACCTGATTCTAGACATAGACAGGGATAGTCTACTGTTACTGAGAGCATCAGTGAAAGTTGGGGCTTTCTGCACTGATACTCTCAAGGAAGCTAATATTTTTGTATAGTATATGGTCCTTATGGAGATTTATACTTGAAGTTTTCCAAACATCCTTGAACAGAATAGGACTAAAATTTCTAATTCACCTGGACGCTTGACAAAAGCCTAGAACTCACTAAAACCGGCCTTCCTTTTCCAAATAGGAAAGGTGTTAGCAGGGATGGAGAAAAAGGAATAGACTCACTTTTCCCCTTTATTGGTGAGTAGGCATTTGTAGTGCCCCTTCTGGGGCAGCAGCTCCTATCCTTGCAGGGCAACACACTATCCCTGCTAAGATAGAAGCTCTTTTCCCTCACACTGCCCTATAAGCCAAACCCACTACTAATATCCAAACAAGGGCAGTGGGAGGTCTGATCTGACCTCTCCCTGTCTCCTTTTAATAACTGGACAGGGCTCAGCAAAGGCTGTGCTCACTACTGTAGGACATGGTAGTCATCATTTGTTTCCCCTTCTTTGGAAAACCAAGCAAATGCACTCTGCTTTTTGCTGCTGTCAGACCAACTAAGATGAGTCAAGAACACAGAAGATACCCCAGGCTCGTAGGCCTGGATGTTCTCCTATGGACTTCTGACGAACTTTTGCTAGGAATTAGTTTGAGGGCAAAGAGTACATAATGTGATATAATATATGTCCTAGCCTAAGAGCATTAGGTAAAAGAAATAAAGTTTCTTTTACCTTTTGCCTTCCTAATAACACCACAATCCCCCTCAGACCTTCTGATTGAATACAGAGGAAATGATCTTTGTCTATACCCTCCCCAAACAGAAAAAAACAAAAGAGTTCATACTCTGATTTTCCAACATCTGAGAAACTGAGTTTTATTTCATAACTCTAAGGCAGCCTTACCATTTGTTAAAAAGTAATGAAAACTGTATGGGTTTAGCAGTAGCACCCAAAAACCAAGCCTTTAACCTCAACAATGTGTGTATGTTACGCGCTGCAAAAACTACAAGGCTGAAACTAGTTACCTAAAAACACCTTAGCTGCTGTAAGCCTCTCCTCACTCACCCTTTAAAACTTGATAAGCATGATGGAAAAAAGCACATCAGAGTCTCTGCCTTTTAAAAATTAACTTGACTTTGCAAGTCTGGCAGTTTTACAGTCATTTCTGTTCCCATCTTTCACCCCAGGATTTGGGGGTCTAGCTAGACATTTCTACCTCGACCAAGTCACATGGACCATGGGCTCCTAGATAACTCCTGCAGTGCTAGTGTAAAAGAGATTACAGCTCTGGTTTGTAATATCTTGAGTCTCTAAGGCCAATATGGATAATAATATCTCCACAGGGAGTTTAAAAGAAAGAGTAAGCAAGAATGGAGTGGTGCTCATACCAAATTTGGGGGTCAAATATTTTCCCTATTCTCTTTCCCAACCCTTCAGGAATCTTCCCTTAGTTTATTAATTTTATACAGAAGAAACTGCCTTAGAAACAAAGGCTTTTATAGTTTATTTATTTATCCTTCTTTAACATGGAAGTCCCATGTCTGAAAACCAAAGTTAATCTGTCTGGCCTTTTGTCTCATCCCTCTTGGCAAAGCAGCTTTTGAAACAATAGAAAATGCTGATTAACAGAAAGGTATTAATGTGCCTGAACCCATGACTGAAATGCCATGATCTTGTTTGTCAATAAAAAGCACCTGTGAACCAGGTAATTATTTTGTGTTTTGGAAGGAGATCTGTTTATTAAAGAGAGTCATCATAAATTAACCCTGTACAGAACACAGGAGCTAGATGGACAGAGACTACTCTTGTGCAGGATATTTCTTCCTGCTAACCATTACCTGAAGGATTTGACATTTTTTTTCTTTAACTTTATACAAGGGTACTATGCAATTGAAAATTACACCTTTCTCAAGAATTTGATATCAGTTTCCCACTGTCTTGTTCAACAAATATCAACACAAAGTAAACCTGAATATGCTTAGGAATTTCACAAAGTGCTCTTTGCCAACATTAGATATATCACGTAAAATTCTTAAGGTCTCTCCTCTGTTGGTAAAGTAGGAAAAACCTTCAAGGGGACCACTATGATACAAAGAAATACATCGAGTTAGAGTTCCAGTCACCTGCTCTATGCCTCTGAGATCCACTATAGCCATATAGTTCCCCGAGCTGTGTCTACCAGACGGTTCAGAGTACACAAATAAGCCAGCCACTATGGCTTAGCAGTTATCTCCCACAGAAGTCAGTACTGGCTTTTTGAATGCTGGGACTCACGGACTTGTTGACGTGGTTTTCTGATGTGCCAGGATCTCCTGGCAGCTCCTATACACTTCAATCAAGCAGTCCAGCCGGGGCTTGGAACTCTGAATTACAAAGGGGAGAAATGCAGAGTCAAGGTGAACATGAGACAGTGCTTAGTGGTGCTGCATCCACATACAACCTCGCTCTCTCACCCACATCAAGTGGTCTCAATGGCAAAGGCATGAGATCAGAGAGGTAGAAGTTCAGGCTTCAGAGCACCTTGCTGGGGAGAGTCCCAACTAGGCTCATAGCCCAGCCTGTAAAATATGCAAGGCAGGAGATCAAAAGATAGCTTTTTAATCTGTCCAAATGTCATGACCTCCTTACCATCTGTAAGAGCAAGTAAGAAGAAAGACAGGGATGGACCCTCTTAAGAAATGCCACAAGTTGTGAAACAGTCCTCAGAGACAAGAAGGCAGTTTAGTATGCAAATATTGAAAAATATTTTGTACAATTAAATGTAACACAACCAAAATTAACAACTAAGCCACAGAATGGGAAAAATATATGTGGAAAGTATATTTAATAAACATTTGCTACCAAATATATAATTATTAAAAATATATTTCTAGGCCGGGCGCTGTGGCTCACGCCTGTAATCCTAGCTCTTGGGAGGCCGAGGCGGGCGGATTGCTCAAGGTCAGGAGTTCAAAACCAGCCTGAGCAAGAGCGAGACCCCGTCTCTACTATAAATAGAAAGAAATTAATTGGCCAACTGATATATATATAAAAAATTAGCCGGGCATGGTGGCGCATGCCTGTAGTCCCAGCTACTCGGGAGGCTGAGGCAGAAGGATCACTCAAGCCCAGGAGTTTGAGGTTGCTGTGAGCTAGGCTGACGCCACGGCACTCACTCTAGCCTGGACAACAAAGTGAGACTCTGTCCAAAAAAAAAAAAAAAAATATATATATTTCTAAAGCAAGTATCTCACGGTAAAAAAAATATATATATAAAGAATTGTTAGAAATGCATAATATCTATTCTAGATTCTACTTGGCTAATAGAAAAGATGGATATTTTAAAATAAGAGGAAATATTGGTGGAGCGCTGTGGCTCACGCCTATACTCTTAGCACTCGGGGAGACCAAGGCAGGAAGATCTCTTGAGCTCAGGAGTTCAAGACCAGCCTGAGCAAGTGCGAGACCCCACCTCTACTAAAAAACAGAAAAAATTAGCCAGGCATGGCACACCTATAGTCCCAGCTACTTGGGAGGCTGAGGCAGGAAGATCACTTGAGTGCAGGAGTTTGATGTTGCAGTGAGCTATGATGACACCACTGCACTCTCAGAGCAAGACCATCTCAAAAAAAAAGTACAAATTCCCAAAAGTAAAGTTGTCTAATCTCCAGAGCCCAATCTCAAACACTAAAAATCTATAAAATTACTCATAAACTTTAATAAAATAATTTTGAAATATAATACAAAATAATTTTTTTAGCTTAGCTGTCTTAAATCCTTTGAAAAAGGAAGGGCAGTGAGGCAGGGTTAACTGTATATATAAATACATAAATATTTACCTATAAAATAATTTATATAATCATATTTGTATAAATTTTTTTTGTAACAGCAAAACAAAACATAACCTGAGCATGATTTAAAAAGCTAGCCAAAGAGTGGCTAAATAAAGTTGATATTTCAATATGATGGAACACAATATAATTATTTAAAATAATAAGTATAAATGGGCTTTGTAGAATGTATGTTAAATGATTTAAAAAGCAAGGCACAACATAAATGTTTAATAGTGCGAGTAGCTCAATCAATAACATCTAAGTAAAAAACTGTACATTAGTAGATTGACAGAGTCAAAGTAGATAAATGGTGATTTATAGGCAGAAGTTGCTATGTATATTTGATTTTTTTCTTTAAAATTTCTATTCCTAATATTTTTGAAAGCCTATATTTGCCTCAGAGAGGAACTTAGGAAATAACTAAAATCCTAATTCTCCCTAAAAATAGCTATCAGGTATCTTCTAATACTCTTAACAACAGAAGTTTACATTCCCACTGAACATAAGTGGCAATGGATATTCAGAAAGAGGAAAAGATAGAAGATTTCATTGAAGAAAGGTAAAAGTGTTCTGTGCTCACCTGGAAGACAGGTACTACTTGGGATATCCCATGTGGTTCCACTGGATCCTTCAATAAAATGCAGAGGTAGTAAATCACTTTCTGCTGTAAGAAAAAAACCAAATAGCAGAGGTCTAAGTGAAACTCATTTTGTGTTCTTTTTCTTCAAGGTAAGGCTTAAAACTTTTTCATAAATGGTTATATCTGAGTAGAACACATGATAGTTAGAGTACGAACACATGATAGAAGTGAGTAAGAAATATATTCTTATTCTTTAAGTGGAAAAAAGACCACAAAAAAAAAAAAGAAAGAAAGAAAGAAAAAAAAACAGAGATAATTTTGGACCTGGGATGATAGATGATACAGTTGAAATGCTAACTCCTTATCCACGAAAATCTGCTGTATGTCTTTAAAAATAAAGGGATTTATCTTTTCAATATAAATTACTCTTTTATGGTTTATAGACATACCAGCCAGAAAAAAATATTACAACTATTAGAATAGAGGGTCCTCACTTTAGGTATTAGATTTAGATCGTGGAATACACCATGAGCCAGCTACTTCCTCCAGAAAGGCCTGTAATACTCATCTCTCAGATACTTACCATGTAAATAGCCTCATTAATGACAACATCCTTGACCTTGCCCATCTCTATAAAGGTAGTGCTTTCTTTGCCTGAAGCATAGGATGATGTCATCTGGATGCCAAGGGAATCAATGATTAGCAGAGTCTCTTGATCAATCTTCACAAAATGGAGGTAACCAAGCAGGCCTAAGAGGGTGATGAAGATGGCAGCAGAGAGGATCATGCTGTTCTGAAGAGAGAGCCAGACACAGGTGGTAAGAATACCAAGTGGTCCTCTCCGCATATCTGTGCTGTATAACAAGTCATCTCTAGACAAGGAAGAAAAAAGCCTTTGTTCTGCTGAGTGGAACAAATAGGAACATACATGCAGGAAGAGGAAATCCCTTTTATTTGGGCTGACAACAAATGGATAGGTCTGGGGAAAACCTTCATCAGCAAATGTCCAGAATCACACCAATCTCAGAAATTTTTCTTCCAAAATTGCAACTCAAGGACCCAAATCTTCTCACTCCCTCAGCAAAATACAGATGCTTGCTTATTGACTTAGGATGGGGTTACATCCTGATAAACCCATTGCAAGTTGAAAATATTTTAAGTTGAAGTTGAAAATGCATTTAATACCCTTAACCTACTGAACATCATAGCTTAGCCTAGCCTACCTTAAATGTGCTTAGAACAGCCTGCAGTTGGGCAAATCTTCTAACACAAAGCCTATTTTATAATAAGGTGTTGAGTATCTCATATAATTTATTGAATACTGTACTGAAAGTAAAAAACAGAATGGTTATGCAGGTATTCAAAGTACAGTTTTTACTGAATATGTATTGTTTTTGCACCATCCTAAAGGTGAAAAATCCTAAGTCAAACCACTGTAAGTCAGGGACCATCTGTACATAGGACAAAATCATAGCCTGAACAACTGTAAAGTGCTTAGCACAGTGTAGCAGATGCTACTCCTCGCCTAATAAACAGCCACTCATCCTTCCTAAAAGAATTTGGAGTGAATCATGATTGGTTTCCACTCCTTCCGCCAATGATTGGTTTAGAAATGGACATGGACAGAACTCTGGCTGATGAGATGTGAGGAGAGGTCTGCTGGAGGAGCTTCTGAAAAACTTAGTCTATCTTAAAAAGATGTAAGAGAAGATCCCTTCATCATGAGGTTTAGATGCCTGGAACTACTATGCCCTCTGCCAGACGAAGTAGATGGCTAGTAGAGGACAACTTGAGGACCCTAAGGGTGGAAGTGTAGTTCCTGCACATGGAAGACCAAGTAAAGGACAAGTAGAGTACACTAAGGGTGGAAGAGCAGCAAGATTAAAAGAGCCAGAGTCAAATGAGCCTCTTACATAAACTCTGGAGCTCACCTACATGACTTACTGTTTTGTTAGCAATAAAGGTCCTCGCCTGTAGTCCCAGCTACTAGGGAAGCTGAGGCAAGAAGATGGCTTGAGCCCAGGAGTTGGAGGCTGCAGTGAGCTATGATGATGCCACTGCACTCTAGCCTTGGCAACAGAGTGAGACCTTGTCAATAATAATAACAACAACAATCCTTATCATTTAAAGCTTTTCTAGTTGTTCTGTGTTACTTGCAGCTGCCTGTGCCTAAGTTATATGTTAAAAGCTTAAAAAATGGTGTCTATTATTTATACCCTTGAATATAAGACAAATTTAGAACATTTTAACATTTCTGAAGTTCAAATGTGTTCTTCTATTAATGTGTGTTTCTTTCATGTGGCACTGTTTTCTTTTTCCCAGAAGCTATTATTTAGAAGGCTGAAAATCATTGATGACCTAGAATGAGGGAAATTCAGTAATTCTGGACTGCATTCCTTGAGGGCAGGATGATTCTATTTGAGGGCTGTCACTAAGTTACTGCATTTGACCAGTGAAGTTGACATGGCAGATATTAATTCCATTTTAGAGATAATGAAAATTGAGGCTCAGAGAAAATAGGAATGAGTCTGGAAATTGAGCATAGAAACCATGCATGTCGGAAATTTCATAATTCTTTAGAAAGTACTTGAAATTGGAAAAGAGTTTGGGAGAAGGGAGGGTTAAATTGCCTTGAAAAACAGAGATTAGGAAGAACTAGAACAGTATATACACATACACTTGTGGCATCAAAGACAGTTTGTGGAAGACTATGTAAGGTATTGTTAGCAGTAATCCCTTTGAGAAGTAGGGGTGATGGATAAAGACGATCCACTAAACAGTTCTTTGAACTCTTGTAATTAAATAACTACGAGCCCGTACTACATACAGAACGCGGAAGTTAAAGTTTTAGACTGTTGTGCAAGAACCCGATGTATGCGGGTGGATCCACAGAGCGCATCGGCAACCCTGGGAGGGAGAATGTGCTGTACACAGAAGCACAAACTTCACTAATTGTAATGAATAGAGCTGTCCAGCAGCCGAATGGCGTCCACAGAATCAAACAGCGAGTTTCCGCTCTCTAGTCCTACCACTGTAGGAGGGTCCGACTAAAGGTCCGGGTTCGACCAAAACCCAAAAGATCCTTCCAAAGCCGAAACCCCCGCCTCTGAGCGCGGGGAGGGGCCCACCGGCCATTACCTCACAGAGTGTGAAGAGGCCGTAGGCCGCCAGCCACACAGTGCAGGTGACAGCGGTGAGCGAACGCAGCGAGAGCCGAGGGCAGCTGAGGCAGAATTCCCGGCAGGACGGGGAGTAGTAGCGGCGCTGCAGTGCCAGGCGGCCGCCGCAAATATCGGAGAAGCTCCGCTCTTCCTCCATGACCCGATTGCACACACGCCACCCTAGCCAGCCAGCGCCGACTCGCCGGCTCCAGACCCGCTTCCGGGGGCGGTGTCAGCCCTTCCGCGCAGGCGCAGTTGCGTGCCGAGACAGGTGCCTGGGTACAGAGCTGTAAGTTCTTAAGAGTCTGGGCTCAGCCCGGATTCTGTGATTGTCTCTTTCCGGGGACTCCTAGGGACCAACAATTCAGCGGACAAATTAAAACCTCTATTAACATGCTTTCGCTCGATATACTGATTTCTTGTTTTTCAGCAAGAGTGAGCTCCAAGGAGACAGTCCACAGATATTCATTCATTCCACTTATTCATTCCTGTGCCAGGTATTACAGTTTTAGGTGCTGAGGGATACAGCTGTGAACAGTCTTGTCAAGTAGCTTCCTTTCTAGCAGAAGACGAAGTGGAAATAACTTCAGAGAGTGTTGTTGGCAGTAATATGCCGACTGGCAGGAATGAACTGGGGACTTCAAATAAGGCAGTGAGGAAACGTTTCTCTTAGTAAGAGACACTGGAGTTACAAGGATGAGGAGCCAGACTAGTCTGGGGAAGCTCTGAAGGAGAAATTTGCCAGAAAGGACCAGGAAAGGCGGAGCCTCCAAGGCTGGAATGCGGTCGTCTCATTCAAAGAATCAAAAGGCCAGAGAGGACCCCATTTTCATTTTGCCAATTGGACTTATGTCTTTATTGGTCATTCAAGTGGGGCAAAGGACACATCCATTTAAAACTCAGGCAAACTGGTGTTTGTCTTGTATCCTGTCAAAGGAAACAAATGGAAAAAGAAAAAGGCCAGAGAGGCTGGAGGTGGGGAGAACAGTTGGAAGTTGGGGAGGTATGTAGGGGTCATTGCTTGGAGCATTCAATAGGCAGACAAGTCTGGCTGGGAGGTAAGTGAGAGATGTAGAAGGAATGGATAATAAAACTACTCAACGCATGGGTAATAGTGGCTTGTGGGTTTACTTTTTACTTATAATGTGGCCCAAAAGTGACTGTGTGGCCTGGCAAAACAGTTGTGGTGCTTCAGCCCCACAGCATCATCGTGTTTTAAAGAGTTGATCCCTTTGTGTATAAAGATAAATGGCATAAAGGTTTCACCAGCTTAAAGTCTCCCTGATGAATGTAAGGTTCAGTTTCTTCATGCAAGATTTTGTTTCCCCTTTTCTTTTTCTCGAAAGGATTCTCTTCAAGTATTGCTTAATTTTTCTAATCTTATTTCTGTGCCTTGAATCTGACTGATTAATACACCCCTTGTTTGTATATATCAATTCATGTCTTTTATAATTATAAAAGTGATATTTGCTTATTGTAAAAACTTTGAAAAATGCAGAAAAGAAGAAAAATTTAAACCACCCATATGTTCTACCACTCAGAGATAAATGCTGTTAATACTTTGAGGAAACCTTAGTCCTGGAGTTCTTAACCAAGGCTCCATGAATAAAATCAGGGTTTCATCTTTAGTTTCATTAACTTTTCATTAAAATTTAACATTTCTTTTGATTATTAATGTAGGCAACAAACCAATTAGTGTTAGCAGTATTTGTCAGGCCAGGACGTGGTGGCTCACGCCTGTAATCCTAAGCACTCTGGGTGGCCGAGGCAGGCAGATTGCTCCAGGTCAGGAGTTCGAAACCAGCCTGAGCAAGCATGAGACCCCCGTCTCTACTATAAATAGAAAGAAATTAATTGGCCAACTAATATATATAGAAAAAATTAGCCGGGCATGGTGGCACATGCCTGTAGTCCCAACTACTTGGGAGGCTGAGGCAGGAGGATCGCTTGAGCCCAGGAGTTTGAGGTTGCTGTGAGCTAGGCTGACACCACGGCACTCACTCTAGCCTGAGCAACAAAGTGAGACTCTGTCTCAAAAAAAAAAAATCACAAATCTTTTCATTTTGTTGTTAGTTATCTCAAAATGTCATTTCCAATCATTGCTACTTCAAAATTGCAGTAATTATTAGACCTACCACTAGATGTTCTCATTTAATGTGTCAGTGAAAAGAAAGATATTACTATAACACTTTTTTTTTTTTTAGACAGAATCTCACTCTGTTGCCCGGGCTAAAGTGCTGTGGTGTCAGCCTAGCTCACAGCAACCTCAAACTCCTGGGCTCAAACAATCCTACTGCCTCAGCCTCCTGAATACCTGGGACTACAGGCATGCGCCACCATGCCCTGCTAAGTTTTATATATATATTTTAGTTGTCCAGCTAATTTCTTTCTATTTTTTTAAGTAGAGACGGGGGGGGGGGGGGGGGGGGGGGGGTCTTGCTCTTGCGCAGGTGGATCTCGAACTCCTGAGCTCAAACAAATCCACACTGCCTGTGCCTCCCAGAGTTTTCTTACAGGATTACAGGCGTGAGCCACCATGCCCGGCCACTATAACACATTTTAAAAATATTTTGATAACTATATTTTAATTCAGATGGTTTTCTTTGAAATCCTACATATCAATGCATTCTAAAATATTATTGTGGCCAGGTATGGTGACTGACACCTGTAATCCCAGTACTTTGGGAGGCCAAGGCAGGAGGATTGCTTGAGCCCAAGAGTTCGAGGCTGCAGTGAGCTATGATCACACCACTGTAGTCCCAGTTACTGGTGAAGTGGGGCAGGAGGATTGATTGAGTCCAGGAATTCGAGGTTGCTGTGAGCTATGCTGATGCCATGGCACTCTAGCCCAGGCAATAGAGCAAGGCTCTGTCTCCAAAAAAAAACAAAAACAAAGATTGATAAAATACTTCAGGCCAGACATATGGAATAAATAATAATTTGAATTTTAAAGGATAATAGTAATATAAGTTAGGTATCCCGTATCCAAAAATGCTTAGGACAAGATATATTTCAGATTTTGGATTTTTTCAAGTTTTGGAATATTTGCATATACATAATAAGATATCTTGGAGATAGGACACAAGTCTAAACATAAAATTCATTTATGTTTCATAGACATATCCTGAAGGTAATTTCATACAATATTTTAAATAATTTTGTTCATCAAAGAAAGCTTTGACTGCAACCCATCACATGAGGCCAGGTGTGGAATTTTCCACTTGTGATGCCATGTAGGAACATCATGTAGGAACTCAAAAAGTTTCAAATTTTGGAGCATTTCAGATTTTGGATTTCCAGGTTAGAGATGCTCAACCTGTATATTTTAATCTGCTATTCACTCCCCCAATGCATTATAACATAGAACTAGTAATTTACCTCTAAGCTATAGGTTGTGGAAAACCACTAAAAGTGACATGCAGAATTAATATGATACTTTGGAAAGGTCAATCTGGTGACCCTCAGTAGGTGCTCAAGAAGCAAAAGGTTTTTGCATTAGCACAGGAGGACCTGAGGCAATCTGTGCCAATATCAACTTTAGGAAACATAGAAAAGGAGTGAAAAAATTGGATGTGGTGGCCCATGCCTATCATCCCAGCACTTTGGGAGGGTGAGACAGGAGGATCAGGCCACTGCACTCCCGCCTGGGTGACAGTGTCTGTAAAAGAAAAGAAAAAAAGAAAAAAATTCAATGTGGTGATAGGCAAGAGAAAGGAAAATACCAAAATGATTTCAATGAATAGCACAAAGTATGACAGTATCAGTGACTGAATACCTGCCCATGTCCTCACCCATTCCTGGAGGTCTTGTTTTTATTGTTTTGTCTTGTGTTTTGAGACAGAGTCTCACTCTGTTGCCTAGGCTAGAGTGCCGTGGTGTCAGCCTAGCTCACAGCAACCTCAAACTCCTGGGCTTAAGCAATCCTCCTGCCTCAGCCTCCTGAGTACCAGGGACTACAGGCATGTGCCACCATGCCCAGCTAATTTTTTCTATGTATATTTTTAGTTGGCCAATTAATTTATTTCTATCTATAGTAGAGACAGGGGTCTCACTCTTGCTCAGGCTGGTTTCGAACTCCTGACCTTGAGCCATCCTTCTGCCTCAGCCTTCCAGAATGCTAGGATTACAGGCATCAGCCACTGCCTGTAAGGAGGTCTTGTTAAATAGAGGTTGCTTGTGCCCTACTCCTAGAGTAACTGATTTAATAAATTTGGGGGTGGGGCCCAGGAGTTTGCATTTCTAACAAGTATCCAGGTGACGTTGATGCTGCTGGCTTAAGACCACACTATCAGAATCATTGCTTTATACAGTATCACTGTGTTTGTTTAATTAATGCCTCAGACACCTTTCTTAAACCAGCAGGGGGAGACAAATATACAATGATCCTCTAAAAATAAAATGCCTTAGAGCAGCAGTCCCCAGCCTTTTTGGCACCAGGGACCATCTCCAGGAAAACAATTTTTCCAGACATGGTGGGGAAAGGAGGAAGGGGGTGGGGGCAGAGCTCAGCTGCTGATGTGAGCAATGGGAGCAGCTGTAAATACAGATGAAGCTTCCCTTGTGCACCCACCACTCACCTCCTGCTGTGCAGCCAGGTTCACCTGTGGCCTGCTGGTTGGGGACCACAGCCTTAGAGTACTAAAGCTCTTTGGAGTTATGTCGTTGCCATGGAAACTTTGAACTATTTTGGAGAGCAGCATGTAAATTGGCATGAGATGAAATAAATTTCAGTGTTTATGTAAAAATTCATTTTGGCAGGAAAAATATCTAGATTCTTGCATGCCATAGTGTCATGGTTAAGAACTTGGAATGTGGACTCAGACAGCTCTGCCACTTACATTCTGTGTGACTTTGGCAAAGTTATTTGTCTTCTCTGATACTGTGTCTTCTGCTTTAAAACAGGCCGTATTTTATAGAATTGTTGGAAGGTTAAAGATCTTAGAACTTTTGTTGGTTATTATTAAAATATTTTTAGATGTTAAAACTCTAAGTATTTAGTATTTTCAACTCTTTATCCTGCCTAAAATTTAGAAATAGTCCAAATATGTGGAGTACTACTCAGCCATAAAAATGGTCAACTAATACTTCTTATATTAACCTGTGTAGAACTGGAGACCATTCTTCCAAGTGAAATATCACAGGAATAGAAAAACAAACACCGCATGTGCTCACATTAAATTAGAACTAATCTATCAACACTTTCACGCACCTACAGAAATAACACTCTTTGGAAAACAAGCAGGTGGGAAGGATAGGAGGGGATGGGTAAATTCACACCTAATGGGTACAGTAACTTTGACTCAAACTGTACAAAAGCAATTTATGTAACCAAAACGTTTATATATCCATAATATTCTGAAATTAAAAAAAAGAAAAAAGAAATAGTCCAAGTATGTTGCTATATTTGGTTTTTAATAACCAGTGTTCCCATTATTCAGGTAAAGAATTGAAAACATCTAGAAGGTAATTGCTTTGTAAATCCTAATTTCTCCATCCGGAATACCTAAGGTAGGGTCTGTATTAGCATGCCTAGCCCAGAAAGCTCTAATCTATATTTCATCTCCTAGCCCAAATTTTATCAACCCCCAAAAGTGGGGTAAGAGTGTCTCGGGGACTTTGAGTAAGAGATGAAACGAAGCAGATATGGATGCTTGTCTAGGCAGGGCACTCGCCTGGGGTCCGGGCAAACCAGGCCCAACCCAGCCATCCCTTGGGTAGAGTTAGCATTTGCGGGGTGTGAACAGTCGCGATCACAGAAACCGTGTCAGTTCGCGTGTTCCGCCGCGTTCATGAACTTGGCAGGGGCTGGAGGTTTTCTGCGAAGGGACGCACCTGTCCGTCACCGCGCCCTTACTGGCTAGGCCGGACTTTGGCCAGAAAGAGCCAGCATAAGCAGCAGCTACGAGTGCTCGGCAGGAGAGCCCCGGCAGGCGTGCGGTGACGTCGTCGAGGGCGTGTCCCGGGCCTCCGCGGAGCAGGGGGCGGGGCCTGCAGGAGGTGTGCCGGGGGCTGGTTGGGGGCGCGCGCGGCGGGGCCGGGGCGTGGCCGAGGTGGCGGCGACGTCACAGGGCGGCGCGGGGGGGCGGCGCGGCCCGCGCCGGTAGGTGAGCGAGCTGCGGGCGGCGGAGCTGACTCGGGCACTTACGCCGCACGGAGCAGCCTCCGCCAGGGCCGCTCCCCGCGCTGCGATGATGTCCGTAAGGGGCGGCCTCTCGCGTCTCCTCCGGACGCAAGTGCGTTCGGTCCGGAAGAAATCCGTCCACTCCGTGGCTGTGATAGGAGCCCCGTTCTCGCAGGGACAGGTGAGGACGGGGACCCGAAACCGCGGGGCGGGATCACCGCCCCCCAGGACCCGGAGAAGGCGGCGGTGGGGTGCGGGGACCGAGGCGAGGAGAGGATGGGCACAGGCGGCGAGGGCGAGAGCAGGGGTTCCCGCGACTGGGCACCGGGGGTGCACGTGGGCTCCCCCGACGGAGGATGGAGCGAGGCAGGCAGGCAGGGCGGGCACCCTGTGCGGGATGAGGGCAGTGGGTAGCGGGAGGGCGGGATTCTGCGGCCTCCCCAGGGAGCGAGAAAACGGCGGGTCCAGCCTGAGGTGATGGAGGGAGGGAAGGAGGAAGGGGATTCCATGGAGGGGCTGGAGGAGGTGACACCGGCCAGAATCCCCGGCGGAAAATCAGCGGGGAGGAGGCGATAGAGAGCGAGCGGAGATTCACGGCTTCAGGATCCATTCCCTCGGAACAAGCTTGAGCTGGAAGGAGCCCGGCGCTGGCCTCCCCGGCCGCGGGAGGAGGGGAGGGGCTGTTTTGTTCTCACTTCAGTGAAAGGAACCTGCAGTCGGGAGAGTCCACTGGTGGAAAAGCCGGGTCTCTGGCTCCAGCCAGCCGCACACATGCCCAACCACCGGATCCTAACGCGGCTCAGCCCCTTCCTTGGCTTGGCAGGTTGATTTGATTCCAATAATGGAGCTGATTTCCCCTCCTTCCCTGCAAGTGTGTGATGAAATGACCAGACCTCAGAGGTGGAAGGATAGTAATAGATGGAAGGGCTAATGCTGTCACAGGTTTTTGGAGGAATCTATTAGGAATGAAGCGCAGTATAGTAGATTGCTGTATTTTTGTGATCTAAACTGGTTTTTTTCAGTCATCTTCCCTCACATCTAACTGTCATTTATGTGACTGACAGAAAAGAAAAGGAGTGGAACATGGCCCAGCTGCGATAAGAGAAGCTGGCTTGATGAAAAGGCTCTCCAATTTGGGTAAGAGGCAAGATTTTATTATTTTTTTAAGTTAGAATATACTTTTTAAAATTTTAGAGACAGTTTCAGTTTGTTGCATAGGCTGGAGTGCAGTGGTCCAAACATAGCTCACTGTAACCTCAAACCCCTGGGCTCAAGGGATCCTCTCACCTCAGCCTCGTGAGTAGTTGAGACTACAGACTTACGCCAGCACACCCAACTAATTTTTAAAATTTTTTGTAGAGACAGGGTCTTGCCCAGGCTGGTCTCAGTTGGCCTCAAATGATCCTCCCACTTCAGCCATCCAAAGTGCTGAGATTACAGGTGAGCCACTGCTGGGTGAGCCACTGCACCCAGCCTGGATTTTATTTACTTACTTATTTTAGAAACAGGGTCTCACTCTGCCACCGAGACTGGAGTAGAGTGGCATGATCACAACTCACTGTAACCTTCGACTCTCAAACTCAAGCAATCCTGGCTCAGTCTCCCGAGTAACTGGGACCACCACACTCAGCTAATTTTAAAAATTTTGTAGAGATAAGGTCTTGCTGTGTTGTCCAGGCTGGTCTTGAACTCCTGGCCTCACGCAAATCATCCCCCCTTGGCCTCCCAAAGCATTGGGATTACAGGTGTAAGCCACTGCACCTGGCCCAGGTAAAGTCTTTTTTCAATAAAGAGAGTAATATGTGAAAGGCAAGGAGGTGGAGTGAGGCAGGGCCTGAAAAGCTGCTAGTTAATGCAAAGTGGTGCTAAGAATGCTAGCTCCAGCTGTAACTGCACTGTTAACCTTTCCCTCTAAAGTTATAGCTTTCCTCACTCAATCATGAGATGCTTATGCTTCATCAGTTTCACCAGTTTCCTCTGTTCCAATCATTCATTATGACCAGGCATAGTGATTCACACCTGTAGTCCCAGCACTTTGGGAGGCCAAGGTGGGAGGATTTTTGGGGATAGAAGTTCAAGACCAGTTTGGGCAATATAGCGAGATATCCTGTCTTTACAAAAAATTAAAAAAAATTTTTTTTTAAATCATTCATTTCCTCTCTACGGTTAATAGCTTTGTATTACTGTAAGCAGAGCTTAGCTCTGTCTTTTTCAAACTTACCTGATTATGACAATCACATAAGTGACTTGTTAAAAATACAGATTCCTAAACTCTACAGAAGAGTCTGGTTCATTGGGCCTGAGGTGGGACCCATATATGTGCTTTTTTAGAGACAGGGTCTCACTCTGTCACCCAGGATGAGGGGCAGTGGTGCCATCATAACTCACTAAAACCTTGAACTCCTGGGCTCAAGCCATCCTCCTACCTCAGCCTCCTGAGTAGCTGGGACTACAGGCATGTGCCATCGATGCCCAGGTAATTTTTCTATTTTTAGTAGAGATGGGGTCTCAAGCTTGCTCAGGCTGGTCTCAAACTCCTGGCCTCAAGTGATCTTCCCACTTCAGCCTCCCAAAGTGCTAGGATTAAAGGCTAAGCCCCTGCACCTGGCCCAGATTTATGTGGGTTTTTTTTTTTTTTTTACAAGCACCCCAGGTTATCAGAAGTAGAGTTACTGTCTTTTGCTTAGGATAGTAATAGTACTCTGAGCTTTTAGAACCAGAACTAAATCTAACCCAAAGATAAATACCTTTTTTATTGTAATGGAGAACTCTTCTTTTAGTAACAGGGTACCAATTTTTAATACCTTTATGGTAGGAAGGCTCTTCCTTATATTTAACTCAAATGTTTCTAGCTGCTGTTCAAGGCCATTTGCTCCATTCACTTAGGACTGTTCATATATCTTTTCTGGCCCTGTAAGTGCAAAATGTGAAGCATCAGGGAGATCCTGGAGATAGTGTTAATAACACAATCTAGGTGAACTACAGTCCCCTCCCCACTCTGCTCTGAAATCTCCTCTGTTGATTCCAATGGAAGTCATCTCCTTCCAGAAAACATTATCCAGCAAAATAATGAAGTCACTGAAATCACCTTGAGTTGAGGTGTCCTTCATAAACCTCCATCTACAGATGAATGTGGTTACTTGGATTGAATACTCAAAACTCTTAAAGAATTGCAGCTTCTTCTTCAATAGGTTCTCTCTCTTAGCCATTTTAATAACTCCAAATTCAATACCAAAGATGAAAAAGAAACCACTTAAAAGCTTAAGTGGTTAAAATCTTAAAATCTTCTTCTTCTTGTTCTTTTTTTTTATATTTCTTCCCAAGGTAAATTCCAATGATTATCTTCTTTTAATGTGTCACAATTTACCTAATGGGAGGAGGTTTTTATTTCTGCTTATAAATGAGGATACTGTCTTTTAAAATACCTTGTACACACTCTGCCTTTTTTAAAGGATCATTTTACACTGAAGGCAACAACTTTTGGTAATCACTATTTTTAAATGCTGGATAAATCTCTGCAGCCCATCTAATGAACTACATCAGGCTTTGCTCGAATTGCTAGATGGTCTCTAGATTCTGCTGGAAGAGACCCCTGAGGAGAAGCAATCTTAGGCTCTTACAGAGGAGGCCTTTTATAATATTCAGCTGAGGCTGCTGAAGGGGGAGGGGCTCATTTGTAACAGCTCCTCTTACTCATGCTTTATACACCTCCTTTCTGGTCACAGCTCTTGGTATTTTTCCACTCCAACCTAGGGGAAGTCACTCTCCTTGAAATACTATTCCCTAGGCTGCCTAGTCTTTAAACTCCCAACCTTCAGTTGTGGTGAAGCTTCAGTTTATTTGGTCTTCCCTTTCATTTTTTTCACATATCTTTGGCTGTACAATTATAGCCTTACCATGTAGCTGACTGGTAGCCCGGTGGCACCGGCAGTCTGAAATAGAATCTCACTGCACATTAAATAAGATTGTGGCACTCAGCAGATTGCAGCATGTGGTTTTGGCTAGTCTCCTGGAATATGTTATGTTGGAGGAAAGTACCAAGAGAAGTTTCAATTGCTCTGTTCCTAAATAGTACCAAAATAACTAAAGTCCTTCCACCACTTTCAGATAAGCAGCATGGGTCAAATTTCAAGGGAGAGAAGACCCATTTAGGTAACTTTCACAAATCTCTTTGTTCTTTGCCTTTGCCATGGTGTTACAGGCTGCCAGTGTTGCCATGGCATCAGTTAAACTTCCTGTTTTCTTGAATGAATGTATTTGGTAACTGGGGTTGTTTTTTCCTTTCTCTGGGCTCACTAAGGACACTTAATGGTTCTCTCAGGTACTCAATTATTTTAGTATATAAAGAGGGCCTAAGAGAAGTGAAGAGACATTGCTCTGGTAAGGCTCAGAAGTAGTGCATCTGCTCCTGATCTGGTTAGCGCTGATAGCCACGGTAGTTTGTCCCTCTTTCTTCAGGAGATCAAGTGTTTTGTTCTGTGCGTAAAGATAGCTGTAAACTGAGATTAAGATTTGGAGGTCTCCCTCTTTGTAATTATGGTAATTTGATCCAGCTGTGGTACTGAAGTGGTGACAGCCACAGGGACAACTATCTAAACAAACTTGCCACTGTGACCAGACCAAGGAGTCCTAGAGTTCAGGAAGCCATTTGAGAGCTATTCTGGTTGCACTAAACTGGTTGAGGACATTTATTCTTCCTGTTCCACTTGATACCCTGTCAGATAGTAGAACAGGAATCTCTTTGGTTGAGACTCAAGAATCTGGGTTGCTTTTGTAAGAACTGCTGATAGAAAGACCTTGAGGTAGTTGTTTAAACTTATCTTTGGTGTAAGATCTTTGATGTGAGATCTATGTGAGTTGAGGCTTCTGTATTTGCTTTCAGCGGTTGGTAGAGAATGTTAGGGGTCACAAGTTTAGTTGTGTGTTAGTGATGCTTTCGCTTGGCTTCCATTCTACCATTCCATTGAAACTGCCTTGAGCAAGCTCATTGATTTGTCAGCCTTTATTTTGCTGACTTCTTTATCATAGCTGACTTCTTTGTTCCTGAAATATTCTCCTTTGTTAGCCCAGATTCCCTCTCTCCTGAGTCTCTTTTTTCTATTCCCGGAATTCCTGGTCCTTCCCGGACTCCCTTGTTGAATCCTCCTCTTCTTCCAGCCTACAAATGTTGATGTCCCCAGTGTACCGTCCCTAGCATTTTCTCACAGAGGCCTCCGGGGACCACTCTCGCCCATTCTCCCCTTCCTCTTACAACTCTGACCTTCCCCTAGAATGCCAGGCTTGTTCCTCCAACTCTGTCCAAGTAGCCTTATTTTACTAACAGGTGTCTCACGCTCAGTATGTTCAAAACAAAGTTCATATCTTCTCCCTCAAATCTGCTTCTCTGCTGTCTTCCCACTGAAATACTATCACTCTATTTCAGCTATCACTCATTATCTAGATACTCAAGTCAAATTCAGAGACCGTCACAGTTGTCTTCTTCCCTTTTGTCCTTTATACCTGCTGACCACGCAGTCTTGTTGATTTTTACCTCCTAAATGATTAGAATCCTTCTCCATAATGGTACTGCTCTACTATCCCTCTCCTCACACCCAGTTATAACTTTCAAATGGTATCTCTTGTCTCTGTTTTGCCTTTCTCAGTTGGCAAATACCTTCTGCATTGCCACCAAAATGGTCTAAGTGCTAATCTGACTGTATTTCTCCTATAAAGTCTTTCCAAGGCTTTCTTTTAAATACATCATGCTCCTCAGACATATCATTCATATACCATCTTGACTAATCTCCCATATCCATGTTCCACTTGCATATATTACTTTGGTGTTTTCTTTTAAAAAAATTTTTATTTTACTTTTTTTTTTTTTTTTTTGAGACAGAGTCTCACTGTGTTGCCCAGGCTAGAGTGGGTGCCATGGCGTCAGCATAGCTCACAGCAACCTCCAACTCCTGGGCTCAAGTGGTCCTCCTCCTCAGCCTCCCGAGTAGCTGGATACAGGCATGCGCCACCATGCCCGGCTAATTTTTTCTATGTATATTAGTTGGCCAATTAATTTCTTTTATTTATAGTAGAGACGAGTCTCACTCTTGCTCGAGGCTGTGTTTCGAACTCCTGACCTCGAGCAATCCGCCCGCCTCGCT